GGGGGGGGGGAGGGGGGTACTCTTATGTTTTGAATGCCTTAGCGGTTAGACCATTGACCACGCGTCCTCGAGAGGACGGAGCATTCTCCCCACAGGACCGATCCCCGATGGCCAATCGTTCCTTCCTACTTTGCCAAAGGTGGTTCAAATATGTCTTCCCTAATCTATCCATCCTATCGATATCACTCCCCGCCTCTTCAACCCACTTCCTATGCCCCAGTACAGCTACCGTCTTCTCCTGGCTATTCCATGCCTCAAACATCTCCCTGTATCTTCCTTCTACATTTACATTTCCCAGCTCAGTCATGCACGCTTCCCTCTCTTTCTTGTACAACGGGCATTCCGCAACTACATGAGCACGGTCCTCACACTCGGAGCCCCAACCACATTTGAACTTGTCGTCGTCATCGTCTACCTTCCTAAATGTTCGTCCACGCTCTCGAACGCCAATGTCCCCGGTCCTAAGTTTGACCTTCAGCTACACCCATTGGTCCAAGTAGGTACTCCTTGAACCCTATTTCCTGTCTTTTACATTCCGTACACATCTAGACCCTCCTTATCCTTGGTTTATGGTTTGATTCTGTTCTTCTCTCCCGGCAAAATGAACAGATATGTTTTTCTTGAATCTGCAGAGTAGACCTCCCGTTTCCAGCGGATCACCTTCGTCAATTTCGAATTCCTTCCATACGTCATTTACGACCTCACTCCATGGGGGGCGGGGGGGGGGGGTAGCACTGATATTAGAATCCATCTCGAGCGGAGGTTTTGGACCATAAACCACTGAGTTGAAGAGTGCCGCGTTCGTTCACGATCGTCCCGCTCACGAACAGAGTACTTAATTTGAATGCTTTATATTGTTGGAGAAGACGAAGAGATGGAAGACACAGCTGCAGCACGTATAGACCAGCACAGCTCGTCGAGATGCTCAACGACGCCGTCATTGATGTAGACTACACGAGAACTCTGCACAAGGCGGAAAAACTGCTGTTCGGTCCAAAGTAACGTGGTTGTAGCGCGAACCACTTGTACATATAGCTGATCCTAATGTACATAGGACTACCATGCATTAGGGGCCGCCGTTCCGTCGAGTATAACACAGAGGTGTTTACCTCAAGGTGTACGGGCGCTCTATCAGTACGATTGACCACCACCTCCAACCAAACGACCGTGTCCAGCACTCACCCTGTTTGGAGATGGGTATGTGCTTCTCCCGTGAATCTGCACACTCTCGGGGATTGCCTTCTCAAGGCCCGGGCCTACTGGTCCCAGGTGCCGCCGCCCCTTGACACTGTCATGTTTGATCTCGTACGTTGCTAACGGCAGGGCTGTGACCTATATTCACAGCCGCAGTGCGTAAGATTGAGTGTTCGCTAAAGCAGCCAAAACATGATTTTCACCCACACAACAGGTTCGAGGTTGATGTGTAGATAGACAAAGCTTCTCCCCGATGGAGACCCGCAGAATGGGACAGGTGAACTGACAAGACCTTGGTCTGCAGGAAGTACCGATCAAACACAATTTCCAACAATCAAAACGCCCGGCATTCTCACCCATGATCTCCCAGATGGTTGGGTGGTACTACATACCATGTGACCTCGGGTGGGGCGTCAACCAGATACCGAAAGGTATAGATGGGATGAAAAACTACATCATGCTGTAGTCTATACATACTGTACTTACAAATATTGCCAACAACACCGACAACCGAGCCCAGAACGTTGAAGCAGTTGACAGTCAGCAAGCATTCGAAATGCCGCACACAAACGCAACGCTGATCAAACCTTGTCTAGACAGTCTGCCGTGTCCGCAGGGATCACGTTGTGGTACAACGCCTGCGCATCTTCTTCGGCGCTGGCAGAACAAAGGAACGCTGCCAGAACCACAGCATAAATCATACCGTTCTGTAGGAACCGTTTATTCTGGCTCGACCTGCAAGAGTGGTGCATGGCAGGCGGGGGGGTCTTGAATATCATTTCGCGGGTGCGAGAGAGAGAGAGAGAGAGAGAGAGAGAGAGAGAGAGAGAGAGAGAGAGAGAGAGAGAGGGCAGGGGGAGGAGATCATGCTGGATAAATTGTCACTCCCTATGCCTATGGACTGTAGGAGGTCATGCTTGACCAAAGTAATCCTGTCCATACAGACAGCAGTGGACATATCTCGATACCACCGAGGTCTTACAGTACACCAACGTCAGGTCAACCCAAACTCTCCAGAAAAGTCGTCGGTACCGTGAGATATCCTGACAGCAATGTGCTGGCGCCGAGCCCGTTTCAGATTCGCGATATGGTGACTCACAGTATACAACCCGGTTGGCAGTGGTCTATATCTCAGAGAAGCTGTCTTTTTAGTCACACACCTGTGGATGGTGTTGCGGCGCTGTTGGGTGCGGTTGGTATGCGTCGCAAGATATTGATATGCCGTCCATATTCTCTTGTGACGGTTTCGGAAAACGCCTCCATATATCTGCACAACTGCAGTACTTCGGGGTGGGGGCAGGGGGGTATAGGGAGAGAGGAGGGCGGACAGAGATAGGGCAGAGAGCAGAGCGAGAGAGCGCCGAGGAGAGACGGGAGAGAGACGAGTACCTGAACATAAGCCACGCACGCAACGAGCTTCATATTCAATGCTCAAGTATGGTCGACGATGAGCCACGAAGTCTAACCATGAAACTGATTGAAGAGTGCACCGCCGGCATATCCAACGGGGTCGCCGGGAGTCCTGAAGAAAGGTACAGCAGGGTAGTGTACATACGGAGCAGTGCTATTGCGGTGCAGGCTACGTACAGCAATGCAGCTGCCCGATACCAACAACAATCTCACCTAAGCGACGCTGCCCTCTTCGACAGGGCTGCAGACTTGCTCAAGGTGGAAGTGCTGCGGCTCGATTGGCAAAGGATCGCGAGCATCCAGAATCTAGACATATTCACGCACCTTCGGGAGCTTTACCTTCAACACAACAGGATCCACGTTATCGAGGAACTTGATACACTCCGAAATCTAGAATTTCTGGCTCTCGGCTCGAACCGAATTCGTCGACTGGAGAACCTTCGGCATCTCCGCAAGGTGAAGGTTTGGGTTCCTCTCGAGTGTGCATACTGTCCTCCCCACAACACGCAACATCACTCGCGAAAGCCGCCACTGGCTATCGCCTGCTCTCGCCATAATGTATCGAATAGTCTAGTGTACATGGCAGTGTTGGACAAGGTCATTTGGGCGACTTCTCCTGGTTGTGTTGTTGAAGTCGTCATCACGAGGAAACCACACCTCTGATGTCAAGTTTCCGAACACTCGGTATTCTTCGATATAAAGACACAAGAAGACTTGGGCGGGTACCAGGCTATCAAACATTGGGGTATGTTGGAGCTTGCAAAAAACGGTACAAAATGACCTTGCAGTTGTTGCAAATACGGTGTTGTGTCGTGCTTCATTGTGACGCGCATTGCTACAGCTGCAGGTACTGGACTTGTCCGCCAACGTTATCGAAGACTTCGACACGCAAGAGCTACCACCTGCGCTCGTCATTCTTAACCTGTCGAGCAACCTGTGCTGCCTTGATCCCGATTTCCGGCAAAGGGTTATTTCGTGTCTTCCAGGTCTCATGGTGAGTTCGAGATCACACTTGTTTCAAATTTACATTCGTTTCTGTAACATGGGAATATGGAAGCACCTGACTCGAGCTCTGTCGTTGTCTGCGTCCAGGGTCTGCATGTGCGGTAGTCTACACACGGTGTACAGCTTCCAAGCTTGTGGCGCTTAGATTGTTTCGTAGATTGACCTGACCTTCCTTTGAACATTGGCCAGCAGCAGTTGGATTGGTGTTGGGAATTTGCTCTCGGAATAGATATTTGCGCTTCATCTACCGTAAGAGTCGTAATGATAGTGTCGACGTATCGTGGTGATGGTGCCTCTTTCAGCGTCAACCAGCCACCGCAATCAGCTCCTGGATCTGCCCAACCCCGTACGGTAGGCCCTGGACGAGGTGCCAGTGGTGCGGTCTTCGCGAGGTGCTGGGGTAGAAGAATGTAAGGGGGCGATAGAGGATAATCAGCTGCCCCTGGAAGACGAGAGAGAGGACGACAACGGTGGCGTGGTGACCCTCTACGTTACCGTGCACTCGGACGGCCAATCGCACATTGTTCCATTTCACTTCAGTCCAACAGGAAATACGGCACAGGTATGCATAGGAATACACGACACCGAGGAAATAATAATGTGGAAGGCGATCTGCAGTGCACAGGACTCGCACGCCATAATTGTGTGCGGAGCCAAGGCGACCATCTTAACATACGGACCAAGGAAAAAACACCTCGGTTGAGATCTGCGCGAGTTCAACGTCAAGAACCCTACACCGCACATTGGAGATGTTTCGTTCAGTATCCATAGCACCGATGGCTGTATTCCACTTCCGCTGCGGTTTCACGCTGTCATGTTCGCTGAAAAAATCACGTTTCGTTGCGTCAATGGAACTGCAGCAACTTCAGCAAGCATCACGCTTTTGTACCGAAAACGGCCTACACGGCGATGACGACAAGAGGAACTTGGCAGGGCAAATGGAGGAGGCCATCGCCGGGCTAAAGGCTCGCCACATTTCTACAGGACGCGTTATCTCCGATAGTGAACGGGATTCCGAGGAGGCCCACCGCAAGGGCCCCGACCGCACCGATCGTCATGAAACGGATGCAAGACTGCATGCGATTGTCCGTCTCCAGAAAGCGCGTGCTCGTGTGATGGAGGAGTCGACAACGTCTTTCGAGCAGGTGACTGCTGTATGATTGCCTTCGACGAACTCTGCTGTTTGTGTGAGGAGCTCCTAAGTAGCCCTCCGAGATTCAAGCGTTTATCAGGTTCATGTTACCGCGATGAACATTCTGGAAAAATGGATACCAGAGGTACCTCCAATCTCACGATGTGCAAGAGGAAACAGCGTGCCGCGTATTGTAGGCGAGATACACACCAGCACAATTTTTGGCAACCCCTGCAAAGTACGCCTGTCCCTGTCGTCCTTCCCATCTGTAGCTGTCCTTCAGCCGCAGCCCAACATCGTTCAGGTTGCTACGAAACACATGCGCCATAATTGCTTGATGTGTGTGACTATCTTTCTCGAGCTGAACGATACATGTTGTTACTTTTCTTGTGGCCATGAAGCACAAGAAGCTTCTACTGGCTGCTACACGGAAGCTAGTCGAGCAGAAGACGGCTGCAGCACACGGCCGCTCCGACGCGTTGGAGGAAGACATAACCAAGGTAAGGCAAGGTATATCTATCTACGGAATCTTCAAGCACTGATTATTCAGCGATCAAGCGTTGCTTTTGACGGGGAGTTTTCTTCCCTTTGCTTGCCATCTTCACGCGCTGCTGCTTGCCTGTGTACATCACGCTGCAGCTTTCAACTACCCCAACCTGTCCGTAGACTCTAGATTGGCATTATGCGATACTTTTCCGGACCGGCAAGATTGAAGGAACGCCTACAAATATTGAACATGCAACACATTTGCTCTGGACTTGACAGATTCTGGAAGACGCACGTGCAGAGCTGCAGCTTCGTCGAGCAAGGGTATCAGCAGAAAACAGGCGGTTTGCGACGGACATGAGGGAGAAGGTTGAGAGGGTGTTGGCTGACAGACGCCAAGAATCTCAATCGGTGGTGGGAGCGCGAGCGGTCGCCATATCTCCGAAATAAAATCAACACCTGGGACACACGCCCTTCTCAGGGGTGGGGTCAACAACACGTCTAAGTTGTTCTATCGGCGTGGGCACTCACCAGAACCAGGTGCGGCCTTTTCGACATGACTTGGCCGCCAGTAATTTTCCACTGTGTTCTGGAAACTGAATCTCTAGCTTGGCACTATGAAGAGCTAGTGTAGGGCGGCGCTGCTTGAGATGGGGTGGTGAAATCGGATTTTTACCATTGGCGGTACTTGCAAAGTAGCGGCGATGGCTTTGCGGTGGTAAATGAGGAAGTTACGATGTTTCCCGACGCTTCTTGTCTTAATTCGTTGGTGGTTTATGACGGTGGTAACCACCTGAGCATGCCTAGGGGCTCCATGTGTAGAACAGATTTCATGTAGCCACAATGATCGACAATTTTTCGAGTGCTTGGATGAGATCTTGTTGACAAAGTCATGTTGTTTGGCGGTGCCTCTATAAGTGCTTGACGCGCACGGTGTCCGACACCAGCAGTTGTCGCCAAACCACCACTTACAATAAATACAAGCCGAACGCCCGGTCTACGGCCGACGACTGCAGGGCACAGTCTTTCTCCTCAAGCATTAGAAAAAATGTAAAACGCCGAGTGGAGCTCAGCTAGCTATGCGTAGGTGCGTTGAGTTTCGGCCTTCGTCTTGCAAGACTGAGGGAGGAACGGTGAGAAGTCGGTTATTTATTGTTCGTGGAGGAACCGGTTCTCGAGAGGATTGTTTCTGCACAGAGGCTTGCCTGATGCCCGGTTGTACCAGTGTATTTACAGGTTGCCGGTGGTTTTCCGCCGCTGTTGTGGTTGTATTGCCACATTGCAGGCATATCGTATGCACTGTATGTATGTGTTGTATGTATGTATGTAGTATGTATGTATGTGTGTTCGTCCATTTGGCACATTCTTCTTCAATATGCCCATCTTTTGAAGCTCCAACTACGGGCACCTGTGCGTGGTTGTGATTCCCACCTCAATGAATACGGTGTGCATCGGATCTGAACGAACGATAGTCCTAGGGAGTGTTCAACAGTTCGACAGGCTACGGCAGGAGCTACAACTCCCCGAGAAACAATATTTAATTGTCGGGACATGCATCTGATTTCGCTATAGTTTTAGCATTTTGTTTTGGGGAAGGTCATCTGGTCCAAACCCTTTGCCCTCTTCCACTCCTCCATGTGTTCCTCCTCCATCGTCGTCTTCGTCCTCCTTTCTTCCCTTTCGCTTTCCTTCGTCTCCGTCATTCCCAAAATAATAACCTTATTACTATGTATCTATTCTTGTCGCAGAGATCCCAACCGATTGGCCCTGGTGGAAGTTGATCGATCAGTAGCCCACATGACGTGCGTGTGCGTGTGTGTGTGTGTGCGTGTGTTTCGTCCGCCCTTAGTTTTTCTCGGGTCTTGTACTTGTACAAGTTGTATTCGGGCGATACGACGGTAATTGATCTCTTCATGCAAGCAAATTCTATGGAAGCAGGGGTACTGAACAAGGGCCAGAAGATTTTGACAGGAGGAACAACTCGATCGAGTGAAGTTACCCCTCTCAGGAATCTTATGCGCGCGTGTAAACAATCGAGTGCTGCTGCGAGGTTCGTTCGTGAAAATTGCTGTTTACAACCCGGAACTACATAGGGTTACATGTAGCATAGACTATTGTATCTATCTGTAGTCGATCATCATCGCGAGTTTATCCTGGACTTCCACCTGTCTGTGCAAGTCTGTGTATTTTTTTTGTCTTTATGGAGGTCACATTATTATTTGCCGGCCAATTTCGCCCGCGGCGTGTGACATGGTACCTGTCTGTGTGTACCACACACATTTTTTTTTTTTCTCCCATCATTGGACGCTGTCGTCTGCCCCTCTGGCCCCCATCCTCCACTTCTACTAAATAGATAGCTAGACGACCCAACCGGGGTCACATACTTGTAGGAGGGGGGGGGTGGACCCCCTCCTGCTGCGCGGTTCCTGCCTGAGATATTTTTATCGCGAGAAGGGTACAGCAATCCCTTCCCTCGTGACGTATAAAGTCGATCTAGTTTACTAACAACGAGCTTTGCAGCGCGTCGCTTCCAACTAAGACCAGGATTTATTTAGCGAGAAAAAGAACCCACCCATGTAATCTCCCGTATGCACCATGCACTCTCCCGTATCACTTTTTGGTGTGGTATGCGGGCCTACCTTTTTTAGCGTAACGGCATGCTAAAACGATTGATTCACGGAGCCCCCCGCGTCGGCGTTTGATGTTGGTCTGGACCGGGACCGAGCAATCCACACTGCAAACACGAGGGGACCAGGGGTCATCCATACAAGGGTAGGGCGGGATACTCTGGTGACAGGTTTCTCACTTTACGAACAGTGTTGCTCTGCTGTGTGTGTTGTTCAGCGAGCAGCGACTCACCGAGTGCAATCAACAGGGAGATTCTGTTCTTTGCTCAACCGTGCAGGACACACACCCAAGCGAGCTACCGTAGAGGCAGTTAGCGGGAAACGTGGCGACGACGGACGACGACTTACGGGAGGTCGGCGGCGGCTCTCGTGGCTATAAGCCGCTGGCCGACTCTCCGGACGAAAGCAGCACCATTAGGGCTAAGGTGTCACCCGAAATTGAGATGGATCGATCACAAGCCGCGGAGCTCATCGAGCCTGAGCTCTCCAACAAGCCAGCAAACAGGCCGTATTACCAGCAGACGTTGAGGTCCTGGTCTCCACTGCTGACGCCATGGAGGGCTGTGGGAGGGTACCTGCTGATTGGGTTGATATTCGTGCCACTTGGTGCGGTACTGTGGCATGACAAGGACGTTGTCGAACTCAGGTGAGTTGGGGAGGTGAACCAATATCGAGTTGCGCCGCATGCCGTGCAGGGTTCCAGTTGCCGGTGAATGCTCACTGCTGTAGATGCTTCCAGCAGCCGTGTTCTTGGTATGTATATCCATCGTATCGAACATATGTTCATGGTACGTATATGCATCATTGACACGTTATGCGGCCTCGACATGATACTTCAAAATTTCGCGGTCGTTGTTATTGTTCTTGGTATTTTGTGTCTGGCGTACAACCGTTCCGCACTCTGCTGCTCAGTATTAGGAAAAATAAATACACACAGAAAGACTACCCGTTCGAGATATACCCACATTCGAACGGGATGTGGTGGAGTTGTACGAAGAAGTATGCATACTACTGCTGTAGATAGGGCGGGGTAGTAAGCCGCGGGGTAGCCAACTAAATTCTTTGCAGTTGTCTATCTGGGGTGCTTTTTGCGGTGACAAAGTGGCAGCCGATCACATTGGATTTTGAATCCAAGTCATCAAAAACAACATCAGCCGAAACAACATCACCCAACCTCAACAATAGTAGTAGAGATGGATTCGTTGTGTCTTTAATGGGGAGGCAGAGTAGGGGTTTTGACGCTGACTATTTTCTCATACTTGAATCCAACATAAGAAAGACAACAACCTTCCCGCCTGAGGATACTGGTTATTAGTACTTTTTAAAATATCAGTAGAGGATACCATCAAGAGGCGTCGTGGGCACGTTCAGATTTGCTACTGGAGCTGAAATATCGAAGATCGCGGCAGCCCCTCAAAACAGTCCGAAATCTGCGCCGGAACCAAGCGGCATCCAACATTTGTCACAGCGGTGCTCACCGCCACGGACCGTAATCCCCTGAACGGAGGGTTGTCAGCAGTAGCTAGTGGCATCAGCTACTTCTGTGAACCCGCAGTTCAGCAGATTGGGGTCAGTGGCGGCGAGCACAAGCAGAAGACACTGGGTGTCGGTCAATTTTGCAGAGATTTGCGGAGATTGTAGGCCACTGCAACGACGCTCGATATCACCATCACAGAAGCAGCTTTGAGTGCGCCAACACGCGCCGCCCGCTGCTATAGGATGTCCTGCAGTGATATTAGTACTATTAACCAGGTTTGGCAACACAGAGCTTTTTGGAACGCCTGACGTTTCGGCTTTTTTGGCTTGAAAATAGAGTGTGGCGCGGATTTTTATCTTGTTTTCAAAGGAGGTGTGTGAAGGTAGACAAGTGAAATGTATGTTTTGAGAAGCCTACACTGCAGTTTTTCGCGATGCCTTCCGACTGGTCTTGTGTGTCTCTTGTACGTTTTCTGCTGCTCTTGCGTTTGTTTTCAAAGTTTGTCAACATCAAGTTATAATTTTAAAAGCCCGGTTGCTCCACACCGCAAAGAGTGGCGGTGCCGAAAATGGTGGTGTGGGTCGTCTCGTCCAGACGTTCCGACAACGTCTCGCAGGGTGTATTCATCCTCTTCGTCTTGGAATACTCGAGCTTTAAAAGTCGGTACAGGGGCTGTGGTATCTTATGTCACCGACAGTAGACCTGTGTGCATACGTCATACGTACCGATTTGGCCTTTCGGTGGTTTCTCTGCACAGAATGATGCAGCAGCAATTGTAAAACTATTCCCCGCGAGCCGTGTGTATGCCACGTCTTGTATGGCGGCTGACAGAGGCCACGGGGCCATAGGACCCACGGAAGCTGAGGTGGCGAGAGTCGGCAGTGCATGCATGCTAGAAAAAAAACTCGCCAAAAAAAAGACGCGCTTCTGCATGTGTGCAGCAAAATTTTCCCGTGGAACAGCTTTGTTTCATGGTGACCCCTCCCCACACACGGAAGCAACAACAATAGCAAAGGTATCCGCCACGAGATGTGTCCTGCTCCGTCTTGTGTGGTGATTGATACAGGCCAGGAGGATGTAGGACGCTCAGAAATTGCGAGCTTGATAGTCTGAGACAGCCTGAAAAAAACACGCCGCGTCCGCTGGATCAGTTTGTTTGTTTTTTCCCCAGGCTAAGGTTTACATGTACAGCAGCGATGATGACTTTCCACACACCGAAGCAATAGCAAGACAATGGCATCCATTACTAGCTCTGTGTATGGCTCCTTGCCCCCGCCAATGCTGTCTTGCCACTCCCGGCGGTGGTGTTGCGTATTTCGCTGAGATCTTCCTCTGTTTCTCCACGTGTGAACCAACCACGCGTGTGTGTGTGGGAGATCTCCGATTTTTTGTTCCTGCATTTCCTGGGCAACTCCCGGGGTTGGGGGTGAGTACCTCCTTTGTTTTTTTGGGTACAAATGCCGGTGAAGGACGGCCATCTGCTGCCGGAGCACGACCAAACCGGTGGAGTGCCCTATTTTATTCTTCCTCACAAGCCAGCAGATCGTCAATCGGTGCTCTTTAGACCTCGTTCTGGCCCCAAAGGTGGGTCCTTTAGGCTTCCCGGAAATCAAAGCTTTGGGCCTGTACCACGCGGCGGAACAACAGGCCGATATTTAGAGCCTGTGTTTTCCCTCCTGGGACGGAGGGAAAAGAACGGGCGCGCTTCGGGCTCCGCGGCTCATTAAAATATGATCACAGAAGGCGTCAGTGCGAGTTGGACTACGCGTATGTAGCAGGACCGTGCCGTGTGTCCTGGACCGGTTGTGGGTGCACCGATTGTCATTGGTTCTACAGCTACGAGAAAAAGTATTCTACGCATGTTGCTGCGCCGGTGCATATCTCCCTATGCGGCAAAGTGAAAGGTTCTTCTTACAGCAGTACACTGCTGTGCTTTTTTTTCTTACGATGTTCATCTCTTCCACAGGTCAGAGTCCGAGATGGATTAGCAATGAATTGTCATGAGCTGCAGAGCGCGAAGCGTGACCTTTTTCCCCTTCACCCCAGGAGGGATAAAAGGCTCTATATATTGGCCTGTTCCAACGCCATGCAAGGGCTCAAGTTTGACCGCCGCCTAATTTCCGGGGTACCGGATATGCCCTCCTTTTCGACCAGAGCGAGGTCTATATAGCACCGATTGACGATCTGCTGGCTTCTGAGGAAAAAAAATAGGGCACTCTTCGTCACACCGGTTTGGTCGTGCTCCGACAACAGATGGCCGTGCTGCATAGGCACTTGTGCCAAAAATTCGTAGGACATACCTCACCCCCGTCCCCAGGTGTTCAAGGCGGGATTGCGAAAGCGGAGATCTCAACCACGCGCGATTCAAACCAGGAGAAGAACAGAGGTAGAATACTGCTGAGTCTCGCACATCCACAGAACCACACCCATCCGAAGTGGTTCAATCCCTTCCATCGCCCAAATTGTCTTCACCAAGGGCACCTTGGTCGAACCCCGTAGCCACCCTCCTTCCATGGGTGAAAGCACAGCAGAAACAGCAGACCTGTTGCCTACTCTCTGGCTAAATAACAGAGAGAGTCTTGGCGGTTCTGTTTGCCGTTGGAAAAATCGATGGGTGAATGCATGGTATAGATTGAGGTCTTGCCTACAGCAGCCACAACAGCAGCGGAGAGCGAATATACGGCGGTTGGTGCTGTTGACGCAATCACCGCATGGGAGTCAGAACGATACAGGGATGACGTCTTTCGCTGGACAACAATAGGGCGGGGGATGAGGGAAGCAAACAAACGACGCCGCCTCCAGCAAGCGAAACATGAGACAGACTGGGATTTTGACAAACGGTCCATGCGAGAGAACGAGCTGGCTCTGTTGGAACTGCTGTGCTCCGGAATTTTCCACCTGCTTTCCACACCGCGCTGCCCGTAGGTTCTATCTCTTGTAGTGTTTTTTTCGTGTCTGCCACCCGTGCTCATTTTTCTCCGGCGGCAGTGCTACTTCGTGCCGATCGTTTGGGGTACTGCTGCTGTAGCATCGCGTGTGTCATCGTCACGGCGTGTGTGTGTATTCCTCCGTCGTTGTTGTAGCATTTGACACCAGCGGGGAGCGCGTTGACAGTCTTGAAGATCCGCTCAATATATTCAGGATACGTATGTATGAAGTGCGGAGGAAGTCTCTGAAGTCTCCACATCACAGCATCGCAGACAATCGCAGATACAGACTGCTGCCGGTATTGGGCCAACCCCACGGCTCATAACCCCTCCCTATCTCGTAGCATTGCATGATGACCAACTTGTATTTATACAGTTCCCCGAGCAGGATGTAGCGATATCTTCCCTGTGGGTAACAGACGCAACGGGTAGTTCGGTGGCCGTCTTGTGTATCTGACTACCAGGTACCAGTATATGTTAGGCAAGCAAGGTGTAGAGGAAGATGTTGGAAGATGTAGGGCGGGTATTTTATTCGTTGTACCCTTGGTTGCATTTTCACAGCGAGTGCACATTGTGGTGTGTGTAGTTCACCTGACTGTATTGACCTGGCGCCGATGGATGCTGATTGGATTTGCGGTGCATCTGTGCATCGAGAAATACGTGTGTTGTATGCATGCATGCAAGGTGAGCAGGGTTGGGCAAGGTAAACATCGTTCCCTCGCTGTGATTGCGGCATTGCGGCATTGCGGCATCTCGTGTAACGCTGGTACTTCTCCTCACCAACCAAGTGGTGCTGCACATATGGAGCTGTATGATAGATTCATGTGTTGACTCAAGTTTGCACCATCTGCAGTGCTTCACGATGTGTTGCATCTTTTTTGCACATACAAAATCTTTGTGATGTCTGTCTGGCGTAGGTACCAGTACGACGGAGACGGTTCGGACGGAGACGACTGCAAGATCACCACCTACAAGGAGAACTTGGACTGCACCATTACGTTTGACGTGGAGAAAGACATTCCGGGACCGGCATATGTATATTACGAGCTCACGAATTTCTACCAGAACCACGCCACGTGAGTCTCAGTCGATTTTGATTGTGCACATCAAATGGCTCGCGTGCTCACGTATCCAGCTGTGAAGACAACAAGAGGCACGAGAAGGCGGAGTGAACTGCGTGTGTCCATTACATTCGGGCAAGGGGGTTGAGGGCAGAAACATAAACACAAAAACGTAAGTTCACGGCCACGACGGATCTGTCCATCGAGTAGTCCCTTTCAAATATATGCCCTAGTAACAGCGTGATCTCACCCATTGCGTGCAGTTTTGACCCATACGGCATGATCGAGGTCAATCCGCGATCTTTCCACCTCCATCTATACATGCAGCAGTAGTTGGATGGCGTGTAAATGAGGTGCAATGTATGAAACCGATCATTGTGCTAGAGGACTGAGAGCGATACGGCCACTCGCTAGCTTTTGTCCGCGTATCGTCCGAGAGCTCCAAAACCGCACGACTAGAACCAAGTCTCGTGTTATTTGCTCGCGTACGTTCTCTACAAAGTGACTGTATGCGTACGACGTTTTGTCGTGTTTGTGTCTCGTCGTTTACGCGATAGATCTTTGGAATCGAATGTATGCTTACAGCTGTGTGCTTGAATCTTTCTGTTAGGTATGTAGCTTCGGTCGGCAGCAGTCAGTTGTTGGGCTCCACGTCCACCTCGGACATCGACGACTGCGACCCTCTTATCTACAATGGAACCCTGGTGCTGCACCCGTGCGGGTTGATAGCCAACACCCTCTTCAATGACATCTTCACCGTCTCGTCTGGGCAAACCATGGAGGAGACAGACATCGCCTGGGACTCGGACGTGGCAGATAAGGTGTGGGCGTACTCCTCTTGTGTGCACAGGCGATGCCAACGTCGTTGAGTCATACTTGAATGTCGGCAAACGTTGGTTCTCGGAATGGGGCTGCTTTGGTTGGATGGACCTATCGCCGCTCTTGGGTTGCCCGCGAACAATGGAGCAAGCTGCATGTTTTGCTGCATTCCCTCGAGCTTGAGATGTAACCTGAATCAGCTATGCATGCTACAAGATCGTTTCGTCTCGCCCCCAACCTTGGTCTGCGGCACTGTAGTTGCTGTCAAGACCACAATGGTTCTAGAATCGTCCGAGTTGGCAGACAAGAAGAAGAGAAGAAGTTCGTTTTCAATGCGAGTTTTGTGCGAACAGTCGATTGGTCGAGCTTGCGCCCTCGCGGCGAAACGATGCAACTAGTGATTTGACATCACGTGACACGTTCTATACCACCCGATGTCCACCGCACGTTGTCGATCCCCCTGCAGTTCGTCCAACCAGATGGTTTCGTGACGACCGCTTGCGAAGACGAAGATGGGTGTGTAGCCTGTCTCACGGATGCAGGGTGAGAACTCAGCGTCAAACCACAGAGGAGTTCACCATGCGCCGCGGTAGCTTTTGCTGGGCTGGGAGTGGATAGACCTGGGTAGGGCCATATGTTTCAGACGACGCTGCCGCCTGGATTATGAGATGATTTTGTTGTGACGGGAATGGAGCTTTCAACGCATTTTCACGTTTTATGGTATGCCGCCGCTGTTTCTCTGGGGATACTGTACACAAGAGGGTTTGTGAACGTAGGATGTGTGGTAGACGGTGGTGCAGATGCGCTGAGACCCAACCACCCGTATGATACCCGCTCCAATGTCATGGCGGGCCTTTAGATCTCACTTGTCGAATATCCTCTCCCATGGCCATACACTGGTCGTTGTCAAGCAGTGCATTGCGTTGGTTTCCATGGTGTGTTTCCGACCTTTCTGTGCGGTGCATGTGCGGTCCTTGTACACATACCCGCGTGACCGGTACCTCACTTGTCGGCCATGGCGTCGTTCCAATGTCGGTGGGCGTATGTTTATGTGGCGCTTGCGGCCTTTGTGTGCCACTAGCCTCACCGACAGCGACGGGGGAACGACGTTCGAAGGCTGCGGCGTGACGGACTCGACAGCCTACTACTACCCCGACGAGGACACTACCCAGTACCTTTACGAGACGTTCCCAGAGGTGACTGAAAAAGACGCACATCACCATGCCGTAGACTTCTGCGTAAGTTCCAGTAACGGCAGTGTTCTCCAGTTGCTCACGGCGCCGTCTCGACACAGGAATGAAGCACGACTGGTTTGGCATGGGAGACAGTTACGGTTTTTGCGTTGCGAGCAGACAATGGCGGCCATCTGTTGTCGGTGAAACAGGTGGTGTATCAGTCATGTTCGTTGCAACGTCTACCAACTTGGAAAGTAAGGGTCTCGAATGCCTTTTCCCAGACTATATCATGGGGAATCGATTCGATCCCAGCGCTGTCGCTGGTACTTTTGGCTCGAAAAGCCATGTTTTCTATGACTCGAAAGTGTGCTGTGTCGATATTTGTTTCTGTTCGAAGGTGATTAGCCCTCTGGACGGCGTCAAAAACGAGCACTTCATCGTCTGGATGCGGGTATCGGGGCTTTCCTCATTTCGCAAGCTTTACGGCAGGTGAGTCTTGTTCGTTTATTCTGCACCCTCCCGATTTCTGATTTATGGGTTCATTCCTCCAGCCTTACCGTACCCCGAGAGGATGGGACTGATTTGTGAGGGATATTGTGGGGTGTTGCGAGCCGTAATCTTCGTCGATAGCTCCATCGTTTCCTAGATTCGAAAGGGATGGATGGCGCGAGTAGGGTGGCGGGGCGTGAGAATTATTGTTTGGGGCATTTGCGCCGTTGGTCGTGTTTAGAAATTACACAAATTCACCGAATTGTGTTTTATCGGTCCGCACTAAATACACACCCCCTTTTCAGTTTTGTCCAGTGTACCGGGTCTAACATTCCCAACAAATTCAGTATGTTGTCATTCTGTGAATGTAGAGCAAACACTTGTAATATTGTCGCTACATGCAGCAGTGCGATCCGTCATAGCTTCTGAAGCTATTAATAGATGATACCAATGTAGCAGCGTTGGTTACACTGCCACCATCCTTGTCTTGCTGCGGGGTACTCTGCGGGAACATCCCAGGGGCTTGAAGAAGGGAATCAGAGGGATCACACTGCCTACCGTTTGTAGTTTGTGGTACCCAGACTTCAGCAATATACTATTTTACTACCAACATGAAATCGACCCTGATTCCAAGGAGATATAAAAGGTTTTGTTCAGCTACGGTGCTCTATATTGTAGATGATGCCTCCCGCGTGAGCTTCGCCACAACGTACCAGCCATGCTATACTTTTTTTTTAATGTCTTCTGAGGTGACCGGGCCGGTACTTCTGCCCACGGTCACCTTTTTGTCTTTCTGTGGACACGCGTTGGAGGCCGACGGTCGTAGTGACTCATTGGATTCTTGGCGCAATGGTAATGCACCATTTTCATTTTCCGCATGGCTTTCTCCTGCCTGTTCCCTTATCTCTCTGTGCCTCCAAGCCTTACGTGTCGGTCGGAAAATACCTATGCGCACTCCAAGCCTTACGTTTCGGTCGGAAAATACCTATGCGCACTTTGATCAACCCTCTGTGACATCCGCACGCCGAGAAGAACAACGTTCTTTAGTTTATAAGCACTATCTTAACATTCCATTGGAACGGTCTCGTACGATCAACCTCTAAATAGTGGCGAAATAATTCATTTCCCGACGAACCGTTCGATCCAGGATCGATGACGGTCTGAATGAAGGGGATACTTTGTCCTTCGATGTGTCCAACAACTTCATCGTGGACTACTACGATGGCACCAAGTCCATCATCGTGTCCAACACGAACGACTTCGGTGGCCGCAACTTGTATTGGGGGCAGTCGCTTCCCTCCATCGGGGGCGTGGTTCTCGTATTGGCTCTTCTCATCGCGGTGAGTGCGCTGTTCCCGTCGGGGGCAGTCTTGACATGTTGTGGTAGTCGGCGAAACGGCTTTGGCGGGCATGTTGTTCCCTGGTGGACCCGAAATTTCCGTAGTACATGGAGACACGTTGACTCAGTCAAGCACAATTTCGGCTCTGGAGTGCCAATGCAGCTCATCCGAGCATACGCGGATGCGACGTGACACGTAGTGCGCCCGATGTCGTTTTTCGGCTCTGGCCACGACCTCGTAGTCCAGTAGACGGATCCTACCTATGGCAACGTCCGTCGACGTTCACACGAGGTTCAATGTATCATCTGTTCTCGCTGTCTTTTTGACGGACCGAGGTTTTTCAGCGCAGGATGCAGTCAGTACCGGTAGTACGTGTATGTGTTTTCCTCACGAGTGCCTAGGCCTTGTGATGATTCTGGTATGCGATTGTTTCAACTCCCTTGTGTCTTCCTGCCTGCCTGCCTGCCTGCCTGCTGGTTTGGTACATCCTTCCGCTGTCCAGATCAAACAACTTGTCTGGCCACGAACCATGGGGGACATCAGCAAACTCTTGGATGATCCATGATTGAAGAGAAGTGGAACGCGTGTTGTAGGCTATTCTATTCCTTGCAAAGTTGTGTATTTCGTGAAACTGCTGCAAGCATGATGCAAGTGGAATAACAGGGCTTGGCTCGTAGACAGTGGTCGTGATGTACAGAAAGTGTCCCAACTGCAGGCACATTAAAGTGTTTTTGCGGTGTTGATGGTAAGAGGCTACCGTCGAGAGGTCAAGCTTTCAGTTGTTAAAAGGCGTTCGCCGTTGCCATCTTGCCTCTAAATAGTTTCCTCTCATGTTTTTCGTCGCGCGCGCCCCGTCGTACCCAACAAGCGGAAATAATTGGACTACTGAACCAGTGAATAAAGGATTGCGCTTCTCACAGGGGGTATGCATATCCCGTGGTACTCTGTGTACTTCACACGTACTCGTGTTTACTGCGTTTTTGGGCTGCTGGCGGAAGTCGCTCCTGTCTTTTCAGTTGTGTGTTTACATAGTATGATGTGCTTCGCTTGTCTACTAGAAGCACGATGAGGGGGGGTGGTACGGCGGTGTACGATAGATCATGTGCAACATTGTCTGGAGGGCACTGTTTGAGTGTAGCTAGCTCTTTTTTGTCATGATAGTTGGACCTGCCTTCGCGTGGGGGCCAAATTGAGGGCCTGTGGCGCAACGATTAGCGTAGACCGCGGTGTTTTTTCTCGTTCGTCTGGATGCCCGTGATAGGCGAGGTTCGCGAAATTTCCGCATGCGATTTTGATCAGCAAGCGTCCTTTTGGAGCATTTGCTCTCCCTGCCTGGAATGCGATATTCGGTCACTCTTTGAGGGCACTGTTGCTACGCATTTGCAAAAGCGTACGCTGCGAACTTGCAATACATTTTGATTTGTTATCTTTTCATTCCTCGACGTAAATTGGCACCGTGATGTGTGGTTTTGGAGGCAGCTACACCAGTGAACAGATCACCAGAAAAAACACATCCAGCAAGTAGGAAAACTTATGAGCCGAAGGTGCACTACTGTAGGCCCTGCATAAGTCCCTACTTCACCGTCACGTCTTAAGGTATACGGTTGCTGTACTAACAATGACGTTGGTTGTATTTCCATGTGAATGTACCACAGCAGTAAAATAGGCTCAGATCCCATACATAGGTACAACAAAAAATAATTAAATTATTTCGAAGCGCGAATTTTCAGCAAAAAAAACACGGTGATTTGGCGCACATACACAGCAGCAGTTGTTTTGGTGCACGTACTACACCGTTTTGTCTTGGTGCACGTAAACAGTAGAGTTGTTGTGCCTATGCTCGTCGAGGTGAGGATAAGCGCCACAGGTTTTGCTTTGCATGTTCTTTTTGTCGGGATAAACATTTGATTTGGTCAAAAAACTAATGCGGAATCTGAGCCGAAAAACGTGCAAACGGCCACACGACCAAACAACACGTAGACATGCACGAGGAAAACAAAACAACAGCACTAAATTCTTGAATCATTGTTGCTGTAATTTGTCCGCATAACACACACACAAGATGTTTGCTGTTGTTGTAAATCCCACATTTTCAACGTTGCACCTAACAAATAAGAAACCGAGCCTCGGGTCCTAAGGTCCTAAGCTGCCGCTTGTATGCGGCCCTTCGGTGTATCTCTGCGCGACCTTTCTCGCCATTGCAGTTGAGTTTGACATCCGCAACGACAATAAAATGATGGGGGGGCCTCTCGATTGAAACATGCACATACCCTGGGGCAAAATCAAATGCCAGACGGCGAGGTGGGTTTGGTCGCGGTCGGCAGTCCTGAGTCGGTTGTTCTTCGAGCATGCTAACAACCTCAGAGAGAGAGGAGAGAGCTAGGAGAGAGACCAATATCTAGATTGATGACGGACGAAGGGCGAGACGCGCCAAGAGGTGATCACCAAGATGGGCCAGGGCCTTCGACGCGGAGTGTCTTGCAAGGTAAGGGGCGCCCCTATCACGAGAGGACTGCTGTCCTCTCTCTCTCCCTCTGTCACCATTGACTGCGGCATGATCATGTCTTGTGTTTTTTACTCTCCCTGTGCCTCATACTTTGGCGATTGCGGACGTCATGCATAGTCGATGGCCGGCAGCTCCCATGGTGTACTGGTGAAACCCTTGCTTGCGGCATTGAGAGATTCGACTGCTCGCCAAGGGCAGGCAGGAAATGTGACCGGATTTCCTACGGTGCGGCGAATTCGCGGACCGCGACTTCAGATTCTTGATTGCAGTTACAGCGTAGACACATAGACACAAGACACAGCAGTGGCCACGCAAGCTCTTGGCTGCCTATTTTTCGTCCGTGCCTCCCCGGTTGCCTCCTCTTGTTTGAAGGTCATGCAATACAGTAGTGGGGGGGCATCAACACTCCCGGTCAAATGGCAAGGCACAGAGAGAATATGCATGTTACGCAAATATTAATATTACAAAAGTACAGCAGGAGTGGGCCCTGTATTTTTTTTTTTTTGTCTTCACTTCAAATCAGCGCTCACAGCACTACTTATAATAGTGCCGTTTACTCCAACCCGTGGTCGCACAGAAGAGCCCCTCTCTACCCTCCCCTCCTGCGGCACTTTGCCTTCGATTTTTAGGGCGAGAAGAGTTCAGCACTCTCTTCCCTCTGTGTACACACGAACCAGCGCTATCCACTAGGCCAGAAGCGGAAGCGAGAGAAAAATTCACTTTGCAAGAGAAGCTCGCTTCCGCCGGGATTCGAACCCCTGACCTGACCTTTAGATGGTTTCGAGGATACCAACTAGACCACCGGGGCGACCGGCCACTGTATATTGAAGTGCCGGTCGAATAATGCCGGGTGCCCGATATGGTGCCGGTGGTTTCGGCTAGCACACTGAAATACCAAGTCGTCCTGTACTTTGAATAGGGGCCGGTGTCCGGTTAAGTGCCGGTAAAGTCCCTGGACACATACCCGCACTATGCAGGGCCCACTACTGTAATTGTTCAGGCCGGTCGTGTGTATACAGCACGGCAGTACAATACTCTGAACTACTGCTGTAGTCTAGACCTGTAGACGATGTCCTGCGGGCTGCGGGCTGAGGGCTGACGATATGCCAGGATTCACCATCCTGACCATTTCGTGCTGAACTATGCGCGAACGACTCTTTCCGAGCCCCTGTCTGCTTTAACTTGACACCTCAATATGCTAGTATTGTAGTGGTGTGGAATTGGTCGGGTGAATCGTTTCGGTGCTACACTTCAGAACAACTTGAAGTACAGTAGTTGATCTTGCGAAGAAACGTTGTTTTCCTTTTCTCTATGTCGCTTCACCGTTGGACTACACTACGCTATTTATGAGAGCTTTTAAGTGCTGCCTGCTGCAATGTTGGCGTGACAGAGTGATGGGTGGTGTTGCGTAACACGTATCATCCATCATCATGCATGTGTGTTGTGTTTCAAATTTTCAAAGAAAAGGGAACTGACGGTGCGGTTTCCTGTGTCCGTCCGCGGTTGATACACGTGGCCACTGGTTGAGGTTTTTCGTTGTTGTCATGTCCCCGATGGGGCGTTCCTCACGACGCGATGTTGAAACGGAGGCTCGTTCTTACGTACCCAACGTTTCTTGGGGTACATAAACGTGGAAATTCGTTTCGGTGGGGATACAAAAGGGCATTTCTCTCCGCTTCCGTAAAAGGAGCAGGGCGGGAAAAATCAACGCAAGCGCTCCTTCACCGATCGGGATATCATGACAGCGGATCGGGCAGGCGCTGTGACATGAGAACGCCAGCAAAACGTGCTAGGTGCAAGTCTAGCTCTATTGCGAAGATTGGCCAGCGGCAAGAAGCTGCTTTCAGTCCGTTGTTTGTCCACACCATGGCAGTGCGTGGTGCCCTCGTATTTTCTTTCCTCTCTGTGAGAAGTGGGAGGAGGGACTTGGTCAGGTCGCAAGGAAGACCCATCTCGTGACACTGCATCCTCTTCCCGGTGCTGAGTAAAACAGGCCGGGTGGGCAGGGTCTTTATGAGTGTGTTTTGCTACTGCTGAATGCAGCGGGCTGGGTGGATGTGTTTGTACCGCTGCTTCACGGTGAGAAAAGCCCAAGCCGACGTGCTGCATGATAATGAAAATTTTATCATGATAATAACAAGTGGAAACCAAAACCTGTTCCATGTGTTTTAAACGGCTTCTTCTTTTCTTCGGCTTGTGTCGGCTGCTGATAACAAGACTTTCACTCAGGTTTCGTGTAACGAGCACAGTCCATGACCAGTTTCAAATTCAGCGGATTCTCCCGTTGCACCTGCTGATTTGAATTTGACTCACACATGTTAATATTAGCAGGCCTTGTTCTCCACTGTTTCACCCGCCAGCTTTTTCTGATTGGAAGCCCGATGCGTGCGACCTAAACTACCCATTATTGCGAAAACAATTCTGCTGCTGTTTCACGTCTCTGCGCATCTCCGACGGAAGTGTATCTCTTACCCTTTAGCGCCCGCCCATCGCTTTCGTTTTGGTGCACTGTTTTCGGGAAATAGGCGGCTTGCACTCGTCCGAGGATGATCCAAACAACCCTGCTTGTGCTGAAAGTAGCGGCGAAGAGGGCGGCGGCGGGCCGTTACGAAGGAAACGGCGTGGTGAGCAGTCGGGAAGTCAGGGCACAACCAAACGGAGGCAGATATTAGAAATCTCAAGTGATTCTGAAGACGGCGCAGAGCTAGACCTCGACATTGTTGACCTTTGCAATACGAGCGATGAAGAAGATAGCGATGCGGATAGCAGCGACGACGACTGCCACGCTAAAGTCAGTGCAAGCAGGGATGCTATTCCTAACGGTACCCACGACTCCGCTGTCGGCAGCCAGCAATCGGCTGTAGTCGGTAAATCCGCTCCAAAGGGGATGGGTGAGCTGACTATTCCACCATTCCGGGGCAGAGCAGAGGAAATGCGTAGAGAGGCGAATAGGGGGGCGGGTGCCGAGCTGGTGATTCCACCTTCCCGGAATGGAGCCGCGGGAGCACGGGCTGGGCTGGTGATTCCACCGTTCCGGAGTGGAGCCGGGGAAGCGAGTAGAGGGGCGGGGGCGGGCAAAAGGAGTGGTGGAGGTGGGGGTGGACAGGCACATTCTGTGGTGAACCTCGCTGGTGACAGCAGCGACAGTGGTGACGATTGTGACGGTGACGGCGGCAAGAACGCCATTCCTTTCACGAGAAGTGCAGCACAAGCACCAGCCTCTTCGTTGTCCCGCAGTACGAGTTCTGCGGTAAACCTCGCTAAAGGCAGCAGCGATAATTATGGCGATAGGATTCGAGGCGAGGGCTTCATTCCGTTGACAAGAAGTGCAGCACAAGCACCAGCCTGGTACGACACTAGTCAACAGAAGCAGCAGAAGCCATCGTTGTCGACACAACAACAGAAGCAAAATAAACCATCCTTGTCGGCACGTCTGTGGCCGAGTGCTTCTCGCTTCTACCGCGCGGCTCTCCGCTGGGTGTACTGCCCCAAGGACTGCAGCATCGAAGAAGATGCACAGTCTGCCCAGAGGATGGTGAGTTGTGCTCAGCATGTGCACCCTTTCGGTAGCAGGACTGTCTTTTGTTCTCCTTTTTGCTTTGGGCTTATGAAAGGTTTCATGACCAAGACTGTTCGTGCATGAGGTTCATGTCTTAACTATTCCAAGTCTCCCTGATTCAATCTCTGGGGCCTTCTTTCACTTTTTGTCCCGAAAATTTGTCTTGATTCAAGCCACCCGACTCAATTTTGGTTTTCGGCAAATCATGTGAATGAGAAAGCAACATCGTCATGGTAGGTTAGCTTGTGGATTGTCAGGCTAGTGGCGATACGTCAGGAGTATCAGCCCCCCAACAACCGGTGCACGACTCTGGCAATTTCACTACCCCAACGGAGGCCATCGCCCCGCACTTCTGTTGACATACCAGCACCAACAAACTTGACTCTTTTGCCGGTAATGGGAACGGCTACGCGGATGGTATGCCTCTTGCCGCCTTCCCTCAGGCTAACTTGGTGCCGGTACCGACGGAGTTCGCCTCACTCCTCGACTACCAGAAGACAATGTCCCAGCTTGTCCTGAAAGAAGCGGTGGCGGGCCTGCAGCAAGAGTCAGCCACCAAGATGAGCCGCGGGAATGTCTTGATGGTCAGGGGAGAGGTGAGGTTGACATTGTGCGATATGCGCAGGGCGAGCTGAGCTTCTTTGCGATGCGTTGGCTCGCATGAGCATCTATAAATTCTGCCCTGGGGAACCAACTCACGGCTGTTTCCTATCCGCCGGCCTACAGGGGTGTGCTCGAGCCGAGTATCAGGTCCACCATCTCGCTACGTTTGCGTTTGTGTTTCCCATTGACCGTGGGTGACCATCGTTCGATCTATCGCTTTGCATACGTTAACGACGTGCAGCGTCTTGATGAAGCATGTAGCCACCCAGCTTGGCGCTCAGTTGGCCTCGAAGTTACTTGGCCGGTACTCCCTCTGTCTACCTCGGCTCTTTTACTGCTTGCTATGGCCACGATTTTGCTGCGCACAAACGTCTTCTGGTGCAGGTAGAGACTGCCAATCTGCTTGATGTGGATGGGGAGAAAAGGGCAGGGAAGAAAGGCAAGGGTGGTCAACCCTCTTCCGCTTCAGCCCCGCTTCCTCCGCCGTCTGTTTCTTCGAGCGACGGTAAGCTGTACTCTCTGAGGGTAAAGCTCATACTGCCGACGGTCCCCGCCTACGGCAATGGCAAAGACTACGTCCCGGCGTCGCCCTTCAGGGGCCAGGAGCTGGTTTCCCTTACTTCGCCTATGTGGAGAGCCTCCTCAAACGCTTTGCTGGGAGTGGTGCAGGCGTGGGACCCGGTGTACGACAAGCTAAGCCGAAAGCCTTCTACGAAGACGGTTGTGGTGAAGATCAGAATCCTAGTCTGCGTTAGCTCCACTGGAGGAGATGGGGTCGGCGGGCGGGGCGGATGGTTGCCCTTGAAGGACATTCAGGAGTGTCTGGGAAACGACAATTGCGGTGTTCCCGTCACGATCTCCAGCGCGGGGTCGCTGGTGACAGCATGTCGCGAGTTTCAAGCTGTCATGTCCTTGCCGGAACTGCCTGAGAGGGTCCACGAGTTCTTGCTGAACCCGTCTAAGGCGCCGACCACGTTGCTGCCGCGCTTTGTCGTCATCAACCACCTGCCTGTTTCAAGCAGTCGTGGTGGGAGAGAAGCAGGCGGCGGCGCTCGGGAGAACGGTTCATCTGCGAGGCAGAACGGAGATTTATCGCCCCCATCCAGCGTGTATACCCCCCCCCCCCCCCCCGGTCCATCCAGCGTGCCGCCCAAGCTATGGATGTCGCTGATACAGAAGTTCAATAGCTCCCAAGTTCAGGCCATGCGAAAGGTGGTGGATGGCTCTCCGTCGGGTTTCACACTGCTGCAGGTGCGATCTACCTACACGTGTACATTTTGTTTCACTCCTTCAGTGCTTTGGTGCGGTATGGACGGCTGAGCACATGAAGGGCGGTGGGGTGGTTGTGTCTCGAAGGCGGCGTGTTTTGTAAGTCTCCACCGGCAGTTCGCAACTTTGGTGGGGCCAGTCAGCGTTGACCCACATTCAGAATGTTTCCCGGGCCTCCTTTTAGAGTGGTTCTATCTATTCGCACAGCTGATACAATGACGCTCTCATCCTCTGTTGCGACACCTTTCGCATGAACTCCTTCTACTCTCCCTGCTTCAGGGACCCCCAGGGACAGGAAAAACCCGCACGATCATGGGGATCGTGGGGGTGCTGCTCGCGGGAGCCTGCCCGTTTCCCTCAGGCCACAACTCGGAAGGTGGGGAAGGAGGGGCGAGCGGGTCAGGGGCGAAGGTCACTATCGGCTCCTCTATTAGCGGTAAGGGAAAAGGGAAGAAGGGCAAGCAAAAGGGCAAGCAAAAGGCTGCGAGGATCGTCTCCCCCTTGGAAAAAGCCTCTCCAAGGATTCTGATCGTGGCTCCGTCGAACGCTGCTGTGGATGAGCTGGTGCTGCGCCTGTGCCAAGAGGGCGTTCCCGGCGTAGACGGCAGGGTGCGGTTTCCAAGAGTTGTGCGAGTAGGCGGCCCCAGAGCGGATGGCGAGAGGAGCGGCACCGTTGATGGCCGCGGCGGAAGCGGCGGAAGAGACGGAGTGACATCGACGATGGTCGAGGTATGCATAATGGGCTGCGTGTTTTTGTTGGCCGCAGTGCCGTAAGTATTTTTGGTTGTATTCGAAGAACGTGTGACGGTTGTTACAACCCAACCCGTCTCTTCCTGTCATGTTCATGTTCGCTAGAGTGCGCTACGATTTGTTTGGGCATCCTTTTCCTGATCGGCAGCCGAGAGTCCGAGGTGGTTGGCTGACAGAATTGACCTAGTGTGATGTCATGCCAATGCCAACGTTGTAACCCATCTTGCACTGCGTCTCGACAACTGTTTCCTAGAACTGGTCCTCGCCACGCACCTCACATCGGGAGGGTTTCGAAAATCCAGGCTAGACTGTAGCCAGACTGCACACACGCCTCCCCTTGTGTTTCATGTACTACACTCCCCCGAGTTTTCATTTGTTTCTCACACCGGGTTGTTTGGTTTTCCCAACGGCTTCTCGTGCTGCAGGGAGTCTCGTTAGAGCGTCTCGTGACGGAGCGGATGGAAAGAACCAAGTGCTCCGCCGTGGTGCGTCTGTGTGACTCTCAGGACTGTACCTACATGATGGGTTCCAAACGCTTGCAATAATCAATGGGTGTGATAAGGCGAAATCAAGTATCCACCAGGTTTGTTCGATGGGAAAAGGCGTTGTTGATGCGATACGAAAGACGGCAAGATTTTGTATGCACGATACCACGAAAGTCAAATAGAGGTGGAGTGCCTTCCTAGAGGATGGTGAACATCTAAGCATGTTTTGGATCCCAAACCTACTTCAGTTTTTCAGTTTGTTGGTGTCGATTTGACAGAATATGTGGCGTTGCTTTATGCTCCAAGTGCTATACCGATCCCTGCGATTCTACAGGAGGATACCTGACATTTGCGCTTAAATAGACGTTCTTGCTGCTGTAGCATGGGCCACTCACCTGATGCACCGCAGTTTCGCTCCGTGTGATGATTTTCTCGATCACCACCATCGAGCATCGCAAGCCAGGTCGTTATTGCTTCTGGTTGATACTCGTGCGAGACTAGTACCCAACGTTGTGTCGTTTCCGTATTTTGCCAGAGCGCCCGCCTTGGTATACTCCTCCGAGCTGAGGTGGTGTGCGCGACACTTTCAGGCTCCGGCTCGCACATCCTTGTGGAAACGGTCATGATGAGCATGCAACTGGCCGCGACGAAACTGTCCAAAACGAAGAAGGGCCAGAAGAAGGCCAAGGCCGCCGGCCGTGAAGGCCAAACAATACTGGGATTTGATGCCGTTGTCATGGTGCGTTTTTTCAGTACCTAACCCTGCATTCCTATTGTTTTCTCGATGTACAACGCCTGAGATACAGAGGGTACATTAGTGCTGTTCGCTTGTTTCCATGTCGCCACATCATGCAACGGTGTGCGATAGCTGTATATTTGATGGGTTCACTGTACGGTGAAGCTCAGCGTGGGAATCACGAGCACACTCGTAGCGAATCAGGTTCGACAATCCGTATCATGACGGTGCATGTCTCGTACGGTTCTTGAACGTTCACCCATCTCTGGGTTGGTAGGGAACGACACGTGTACTTGTGTGACGGGTACGTCGATACGCTTTGTTTTGCACGAACACGATGCAATATTTTGTTGTTGTACGGACACAAGCGTTGTTCACATCTCCTAAACCTTTGGACGAACGCTTGTTTTCGGGTGTTTCCACTGCGAATCACACTCCGCTACCATTGCCCGGCACACCCTTGCTCATACGTGGGCTGCTTCGGATTACGCTAGGACGAGGCTGCCCAGGCTGTGGAGCCTTCATCAATGATACCACTCAAGTACAATCCCAGGTATGACTAGCGTTGGCTGGCCTCGGGGGTTTCATCTCGTGTAGGAATGTTGATGTGTACAACGGAGACACATTTGGGTCTGTCCATATCTGTACGTTTGTGCCCATGTGCTCATACCAACGCTCACAAGCATGCATCAGCTTCATGACACGGCCTGCGTTGCGCACTGATTGAGGCTGATGCTGTGTACGAGCATTTGGATGAAATATTTGCTTATCTGTGCTTGATGTCTGTGTCGACTGTGCTCGGAAACCGCAGCGTACACGATTGTGCTGTAGTTGTATATTTACCAGTTGTTTCCAGGCAGCTTTTGTGGAACCTTAGCGGAAAGGGAAGGGAAGAGAAGGGCAAGGAAGATACGGGAATGTGACCCCTGGGGGCGAAAGCGCGCAATCATTCAAGCGCAGAGGGCATGACGTAACAAATGCCAACCCCCTCCCATCCCCCTCCTCCCGGACCTGTAGCTTTGTCTCTCTGTATTTGTCTCTCTGTGTTTGTCTCTCTGTCCCTCACTAACAATAGGCCACTATTTCTCTCTCTCTCTCTCTCCCTCTCTCTCTCTCTTCTCTCTTTCTCTCGGTCTCTCCTCCTCTCTCGTCTGTATCTCTCTTGGCCGATGTGGTCCGTGCTTTCTTGTGCGCCTTACTCGATGCCCCGGAACGCCCACCAGGGCAGTGATCATGGTCGGGGATCCCGCTCAGCTGCCGGCTACGATCTTTTCTAAGGATGCGCAGCGCGCCAACTACGCGCAGAGTTTGTTCCTGCGGCTGCAGCGGGGGGGGCACCCGAAGACGATGTTGGACACGCAGTACCGAATGCACCCCGACATCGCATCCTTTGCCTCCACGCGCTTTTACAGTGGCCTCTTGAGGTAGTGACGCCGTGACTCACCATGCGCTTGAGTATTCGGTCTGCTTGGCTTGCGCCTCCTGGTACTGCAAATGCGGCACGTACGCTTTGGGTTGTCTCTTATGGCGTAGAAGATACACGTACATGAGTGGCGTTGTTTGACAGAATTGTTCTGAAAACAGCTGATTGGCGCATAAAGACCAGGACGTTGTGTGCGGAGTTTGCTAATGCGAGCAAGGATAGGCTGATTGGTGTTGGTCCCGTACCATATGGTGCGTGCAATTGTGACGCGTTGAATCGCGTGACTTTTTCGAACCCGCAAGGTCACCCCGCTACCGGGCGGGATGTTCTCCGCGACATTTTCTGATGTGCCCTCGTCGTTTTTTCTTTCTTGCAGGTCTGCTCCCACGGTCACGGAGGCCTCGCACGGTCAAGTATTCCACCGGTTACCTCGCTTCGCGCCTTACCTATTTCACAACGTCTCTGGCGGACGGCTCAAGCGAGGGGGCGAGGGGTATGGTGGTGCCAAATCCCTATCTAACCCTACCGAGGTGTCCTACATCACATCTCTCCTTCAGTGAGTTTTATGGTTCCGTTGGGATTTTGAAGTTCTTTGGAAGAAGTGGTTGTCCTATCCGTTGCTGATATTTGGTACTCGTATAACTTTGAGTTCATCAGTTGGCGTCGTGACATATCTAAGCACACACGAGTCCATCGAGCGGAAAGGTTACACATGCCTTTGTCCAAGTTCAAAGTGGCACGTTGTGTTGCGCAGGGGGGCGGGATCACTACCATAGAGCGGATGCACGGGGCGTTTCTAGACGGTTGCTTTTGGGTCTGTCTCGTTGGATCCCGTGCAAGCCGCCGATGGCCTCTCCGAGGTACAGGGCATCACCTCCGAGTACGTATTGTGTCACTAGAAACACCGTCGCCATGTCCACAACACCCTTGACTGGTCGCGCTGCCGCCATGTTCGGATCGACCAATTACAATCAACCAACCACAGAGACCTGATTACCACATTTCCCGGGACGGACTTCAACGGGAGAATAGGCGTCATTGCGCCGTACCGCAACCAGATCCGAGCCCTGCAACGGGGCATGTGGTCTACAGGACTGAGGCACGACGGAGTTGAGGTCTCCACGGTGGATGGGTTCCAGGGGCGGTGAGTGCACGTGGGCTTCCGGCAGAAGCATGCTTGCATCCTCCTCGTGTTATCCTCCCTCTTCATTTTCCTGAGTTGTCAAGTTGTTTTTCTCTCCCAGTCCTGCTGCCTCGCTCCTTGCGGGTGTGCCGTTGAAATGAGATGTGCGAGCGTTCACTGCTCTGCTTACCTCCGACACTGCCCCCGACCTTTACACTACCAGGGAGAAGGACATCATGATATTCTCGTGCGTTCGTGCTCCCGAGCTGCAGAGGTCGGGGGACTCCGGTTCTTCTAGCGGTGGCGGCATCGGCTTTTTAGACGACTGGCGAAGGCTCAACGTTGCCATCACGAGGTGCTGTGCGCAGTACTGCTCGAAAAGACAATCAAAGTGCCGATGTATCTGCACGCGGTGTTCATCCATTTGGTTGCGTTTTGAACGCAAGAAATATATAGCCTAACGCACTTCATGCAATGCTGCAGCCTCAGGCAATATTAAGTACTGCTTCCCATGTGCTCAGCGCTGCCGGAAGCAGGTACTGTCAACTCTAACACCCCCCGAAAACAACTCCGGTTGCAATCCCCTCCCACCCTCCCCTAGGGCAAAGTTCGCCATGTGGATCGTTGGCCATGCGGGGGTCCTGAAACAGAGCACCGACTGGCGTGAGCTCATCAACGACTCCAAGAAGAGAAACGCCTTCATTGACTCGAGTAACCCAGGTGCCACTTCAAGCGGCCGTAACAGCGGATCCACCACTACCAGAGGTTCCAACGTTGGTGGCTCCCGGACGGAGACGACGAGCACGAGGGCTCCTGAGAAAGAGGCGCCCTCTGCCGCTAGCAGCACACGTTCAAGGTCGCCGGTGGTTGTAGGGACAGACCAGGGCAGAGAGCGTGGGCATGGTCTCAGGGGGAATGGGCAAGTCGGCGAGACGAAGCATGACTCCAGGCAAAACGGTGCTACTGGCGTGGCCCTAGCAAGGGGAGAAGGGTCAGCATCAGCAGCAATGCCTTCCTTACACACGACGCCCTTCGCAGCGCCACCGCCCTTGCCTTCTCACATCTGGGCATCGGGCAATTACTACAACAGGCAATCCGCATCACCCCAACCACCCACCGGGCTTAGAGCTGGCGGTACAGGCTCTGGCCGTAGTGATGTGGCGGTACGAGCGCAGCCTTCGCTCACCGATTCTGCTGGTTCGCAGCCTCACAGACTGGATGACACGAGGACAGAGGTCGTCTCTCGGCAGGGTAACCACTACAACAGACAACCCGCACCGCCCCAACCACCCGCCGGGCTTACAGGCTCTGGCCGTAGTGATGCGGTGGTGCGAGCGCAGCCGTCGTTCAATGATTCCGCTGATTCTCAGCCGAACGGACTGGACAGGAGGACAGTGGACGCCTCTCGGCAGGGCAACCACTACAACAGACAACCCGCACCGCCCCAACCACCCGCCGGGCTGACAGGCTCTGGCCGTAGGGATGCGGTGGTGCGAGCGCAGCCGCCGTTCAATTCCGCTGATTCTCAGCCGAACGGACTGGACAGGAGGACAGTGGACGCCTCTCGGCGGGGCAACTACTACACCAGGGAACCCGCACCGCCCCAACCACGCGCCGGGCGTAGAGGCGGTGGTGCAGGCTCTGCCCGTGGTGATACGACGGTGCAGGCTCAACCTTCGCTCAAGGATTCCGCTCATTCTCAGCCTAACGGACAGGACGACAAGAAGACCGTGGACGCCTCTCGGCAGACAGACTACGTGAACAGGCTGCTGAATGGCTCGCTTTCGACGCCACGCTCAGGCCCCAAGACTCCCGATAACATTTGAAGGAAAGGCCGTACGTGCATTTCAGAGCAAATCACGGGACTGCGTAACGCTGCCAAGCCACGGAACCCGTAGGGCGTTTGATCCGGACAGTGTTGGGGCTCACCAGTATTTCAGGCGTCTCTTGGACGGGCGCACTCAGACGTTGAACAAACGTGGACAGAAATACACCGGTGTCACTACAAGCTCGTACGGTTTGCCAAGAGGACCCGGTAAGCGTGACACGAGAATGCAGAGCCAGCGCGCTGTTGATCGAATAGCGGCAGCTTGTCATGTGAAGGACAGGGTTTGGTAGAATAAGTGCGGAATAAAAACGAGCCGTGTCGCGTGGAGCAGGCACGTCTCACATGCTAATCTGGCACTCAGGCGACCCAGGGATCACCTGTATCGTAACCATTCTGTGCAATGATGCACGACGCACCAGCTTGCTCGGAGAAGAAATTGCTCGGAGAAGAAGCTTGGTGCACTTTTCGAGACAACCCAACACGGCATCATCTCTGGGTTTGTTTCACCGGTATAACAGAAAAAAAGGTCTAGCGGCGAAAGAGAGGTCAACTCGCCGTGGCGAAAGCCAACGTGGTTCCCATCAGCTTCCAAAGCCTACCACTGCTGTAGACACCGGCTATACTTGACACACAAGAAGAACTCGCCCCAACATGGTATAAGACTTCCGCAGAAGGTTCTGAAGACGGTCGGATGCCAGAGCGTTGAAGCCACGATCAGACAACGACGCCTACTGTTCGCGGGAGCATTTATTTGCAAGGCAGCCCGAGCATTTATTTGCAAGGCAGCCGGACGGGCGACTCCCGAAACGAGTTATGATGCTCGGCGAACTGGCGGGGGGGGATAAGCGACGTAGGGGGGGACAGGAACAGAACTGGCCGAAGTGTGTGCTCGACGACCTGAAGGCATTCGGGGCCGACCACGGATCTACGAAAACCGATCCATGTTTTCTCGGAATCCCGGTACCGAAAGACATGGCACCGAAGTTAAAGTGGACGGAAGCCGCGAAGGTGGAGGGGGGAGTACCCTGGTATGCGGCGGTGCTGCAGGGAGGTGAGAGGTTCATGACCTCCTGGCACAAGAAGGAAGAAGAGGCCAGCCGACAACGAGCGCTCAAACGAGACCACAAGCCAACAACCAATGGGGCGGGAGGGGGGCAGGAGACGGACGAGACGGCGAGGGAAGAAAGTAAACGACGAGAAGAGACGGACCGAGTGGCGTGATACGTGCCGGATTGAACTTTTAGCCAATTCCCCCCCCCCCCAACGCTGTACCATTGCACCAACCCCCCACTAGTGATGATGTACCATTACCATGTATCGCTGGGTGGTGGCCATGTTTGCGTGTTGGCTTGTTCGTTCGTTAGTGCGTATGCCTTATTATTCTGTCTCTTTTGTCTTGTTATTTTCGGCCTGGTCTCTTTTTTTTTTTTTCTTAATATGACACAACGAATCCATCTCTATCATAGAAAAGAGTCAGAGACAGAGTAGCAATGAATTCATAGCGTCAGGAAAAGCTACCTGTATGTTTGTCCTCGCTTGTTTTCTTTTTCGTTTTCCTTTCTCTTTTCTTCCTGTTTTTTTTTTTTTGTTCTCTTTTTTCTCTCTTTCTCTGTGTCACATGGCCTTGTCTCTGCTTGCGTGTGAAACACCAAGATTGAACCAAGGGGGTGTACCTCTTTCTCTCTGGCCCGTGATGCTGACTCCTAGTCTCAGTTGTTACCTCGCATAGCGCGCAGAGGGAGCGGAGGACTCCAGAATATCTGTCGTTGATTTCTTTTGACTTGCGGACCCCTCGGGGCCAGTTTGTTTGAGCGTACCTTTTTACATGTAGCCTGTGACCACGGCAATCGACCGCGTCAAGAGTTGGATCAGTACGGACACATGAAGGTACTGGGTAGAGAGAGATCGGAACGGTTTTTAATGTGAAGACAACAACAACAAGAACAACAACAACAACAACCTTACGCACTGTCACCTGTTTCCAAGAGCAATACGGTGACGCACGGGTCTATCGAAATAACCCCACAACTACGTATGCCGTGCGGGAACAACGGCGCACGCGAGTTTTTAAAACGGAATGGGATTAGCCTGCCAGACAGGCCTGCACATCAATTTTATCGAGGGTGACTCGCGTCAAACAGCGGTGGTAGTGGACAATCTCCTAAAGTACACAGAAAAAAGGAAAGCAGATACGACTAGGCCACGCATCAACACACACTGGTGTGGGGCATGGCAGCAACAACGACCCGCCTGTGCGTGTCGGAACCCCCCCCGGCAATCGTGTAGTGAGAAACTGATGTACGAAGTACAAGATAACACACACCGAAGGGTCCGTCTTGGAAACGAATCTATCCGTACTCTCGGCACGAAGACCGAGATGGGGATCCTTCGCTTGTCTCCTGACAGAGACGAACCGCTACCCGGTGACTTCGAAAAAAACACTTGGTTAAATATTCATGCCGTCGACATGGAAGCCATGCCCTCGGTGAATTTCCTGAGGCGATCCGCGACGATCACCGTCTGGATGGCGGACTTAAACTTGCGGCGGGCGTTGAAGAGCTTCATGCGTCCCAGGTTCTGGTCCATATTGTTGCCCTCCAAAACTGTGGTATCAATCTGTCCAGGGAGAGCACCCGTGCGGTCAAGCGCAAAGCATGACACAGGTTTATTCGTTGTGGATTCAACATGCGATTTGATAGTAAACGGAACCTGAGCGTTTGATAAATACGCTTGCAGCGGCGGTACCAGGCTGCGGTGCCTCGATCTCCGCCCGAGACTTGGGGGGAAAACCCGCTTCGTCCCGGATGGTTTCACAACGTTGGGCAGCACGTGGCAAGACACATGTCGGGCTTCAGTCTGCAACAGTTTTGTTGGCGAATGGCTCCTCAACGAGAGATTTTCGCTTCAAGCGGATGTAAACATCACGGACTGTCCGTGCACAAGTGGGACGTGAATCTTACTGCGCACAACACGCATCGGCACGTACTCTACAACTTGGTGCTTCCTACACGCCCCACAGTCAAAATGCGTGCCAAAAATTGTACTTCCCAACAATGGATGCGGGGTTCTGCCAAGCGCCCGTGGCAACACAAGTGTTGAATTATCTAAACGAGCACGTGCTCATCAGCAGTCAAGGTATCACAAGTAAACATACTGCGAGTATGGCCGCAGCAGCGCGCACCGCCGTATCGGACTCAACGTGCCAAAAAAAATACTGCAATGGAACACAGGCTGTGTTGTGGGTTGCCAGGCCGGTACAGTATAACAATGCTGACTGTGACCAGGCCAGGCGCCCTTGGGGTAAAATCCATCCGTAAGCACGACAACCATGCGCTGTACGGCATCTACTCTTCGGAAACCCAAAATGTGACGCCACCGTCTCCACTGCTATCCATCCCAACAAGCATTTTTTTGAACCTAAGAACCATGGAGAAAAGAAAAACCAGCTCATGCTTGACCAGAAAGGAAATAATGCGCAGCGTACCTTGAGGTACGGGTGCTCAAGGGCTTGGTCGGCTGTCAAACGCTTGTTGGGGTCGACGGTGAGCATTTTGGCGATCAAGTCTTTCGCCTCCGGGCTGATGTCGGACCAGTACTCATCGTGGAAGCTGTACACGCCCTTCTTGATCTTAGCGAACAACCTCGCCTGAACAAGCCAGTTCGGTGACAACATGACACGCGTGATGAAAATGTCAACGAAAGAGTCATGCACACAGCATGTGGTACAGGCGTCACATTAGGATGTTGAGCAAGCTGCAAAGATGTTAGCGCTCACCGATTTTGTCAACAGATCGACACCCGGGCAGATTTGAAAATGGACACTAACTGCGAATGCATCGCGTGATCCACAAAAAATAAGAAGACGCTTGGGACCAAAAGCGCTTGGTGTAAAACAATCGTGCAACGCATTTCGCAAACGAGCCAAAAACACTGCCAAAAACAAAAGGAAGAGAGACGAGACTCCCGCAAGCCACAATAGATAGCACAGCACTGGAACAATTACAATTTACACAACCAACTGCGAGTAAAAAACTAATCACGGCCGCAGCGGGACCCGCACCAGGCAATTGGGAAGTCAACGTTTTTCGTGAGCTTGACATGAAAGGACTGCTTCGTACAATGTATTGTGCTTGCCTGGTTGTCGTCGTGGAATGGAGGATAGCCGCCGAGAAGAATGTACGTGATGACACCCACGCTCCACATGTCCACGGCCGCGTCGTACTTTCTGTTGGGTCGTATCGTACATCCGTCCGAATTTCATGTCGTTGGGTCAACGTTTGACGCCCATGCGGCAGGGCGTCGTGAACGAGAAAACTGCCGCAACAAGGAATCTACGTTCGTAACTTGTCATCTCTTGTCAAAATCACCACACGGATTCGATCAGTTTTACCATATCAGCCACTCCGGAAGAGTTATCACACGACATGCACGATTGGCTTTGTGGCTCGGCGAAAACTCGGGTCCGAAGGAAGCAGCAAACACTTGAACCGTTAAACAAGTCTTCAGCTCCAAGCAAGAGACGGCTAAAACATGTTGGAGGTTTCGCATTGGTAACCACAATTTGGCCCGCGAAACACGGATTAAGAGTCATTCGAGAAACTCGCAGGAAAGAACCTGGGATCACACATTGCTCTCGGCTAATTGTAAACGTTGACCGTTGGCCAATACTTCGAACAGGCCCCACCCAGTACACACCAATCCAACGCAACCAAACCCTGACCCAATCCTTGAAGACTCTCAATCAAGACCAGCCTCACTTGGGCAAGTTGGCGTGCCAAGGCGTGCACAAACGAACAGTATGGTCAGCCGGACAGAACGGACACACGCATCACTACATTGAGGAAGATGACCAATGCGTTGCTAAACCTACGCCATGGCAATCGTTGGGGCACCAGAACAATACCAATATATACCAATATACAGCCGTAGCAGACCAAAACGCGTTCGATATGTCCATGATTCGACAATTCGGGACTTGTTCAGGTCTAACTCTCGCCCCTGAAAGATGGTAAATTTCACACGAAAAAAAAAACGGTGCCGGTGAAACGACTCACTTGCGCATGAGAATCTCGGGAGCGACGTAACCGGGGGTTCCGCACTGCGTCGTCAGGCCGCTCTCCGGCATGAACTTTTGCGCGAACCCGAAATCTGCCACCTTGACAAGAGCGTCGTCCTTCTCGCTCACGAGTAAAAGGTTCTCCGGCTGAAGACCGAGTGAGGGTCAAGACGAACATGAGTGGAGTCACAAGAAACGGGCAATAATTAATCAAACAGGCAACAGGCAGCGGAGACTTCGTACCCGACACTTTACGCAATGACAATGAAACCTCACGGTATTTTTTTGAGTGGTGTTCTATGGGCATCCCTAATATATGGTGGTGCCTTCGTTGCGACCAAAGAAACTTGTGTCTTGGCCTTCCAGAGCGCACAAGAGGAGATATAGGAAACTGTAGGGGTCACAACGGCCAACGTCAGTGGACGGAGCAAATGTAGCACAGCAATAGAAGGTTCCCCTGCGGGAGGTAGGTGATTTGCCTCCCGGGGGCGACGCAAGAGGACATGGCCAATCAATGCCATCGCGTTCGCATGGTTGGTCGTCATAACGTTCGGTAGTGCCAGCTTGCGTGCAACCTGCATACAAATAATTTGCCTGGAATTTGCATCATATGTGCCGGGTATTTTGTTTTCTCCCGCCGTGACTTTCCCTTGTGCGCGAGTGCGTGGTTTTGGCTATTATAGCGGTTTGCTGCAGGTCCTACTGCTGCTGCTATAATCCGCTGCGTTTGATCACTTTCTCTTCTTGTGTGATCGTGTTTCCCATGGTGTGTGGGAATTTTTCACGCATACACCAACAACAACGGATCAAAGAGACGCTCAACGTGCCCAAGAACAGTCACAGATAGATGTAGACTGCTACCGTACCAAACTTCTATATTGACTTTTTCGATTTTTCGGAATTGAAATGTACAAACCTACAGATGCCAGGGTTGTACGAGAGGACTTCTGTGTCGCGTGGTGTGTTCCCATTAGCATCAAGAGTCTTGATCCCCGCTGTGGGTACGCATGCGCTAGTTGCCGTGTGGTGGTTGTGTGCACAACAATTCACAGCAGCAGGTGTGTGGGCGCGTGCGCGCGTGGCGCGTGGCGCAGGGAAAAAAAAAAGTGATGTTATCAGTTTTCGTGCCGTTCGAGGAGGCTTTTATGGTTCGGATTCCCAACCCCTGAAAACAGAGCCAGACCCAGCGACTTTAGGCGGCCCTAACGCGCACCACCGGTGTCTCGCGAGTCCCACACGTAACGGGTAATGTACCGACGGGTCCTCTGCGTGCCATGCAGAAGAAAGTGCGAGAAAAAACGCTGTCCCAGCGGAGAAAAACGACTGCGAAAAGTACAAAAGTCGAAATACTAAGTACGCATATGGCAGGGTCGGAGGAATCAGCCCCCCTCCAAACACGCAAGGCGGACAACACACAGCACGCTTGAACGGACGCCCTTATACACGCGGTGGGCACGATCATGTGCGGCCTAGTGCGAGCCGGCCGGTAAGTGTTGACACATTTGACACATTGACACACGGACAGTTTCGGGGGTGGGAGTAGGTGCAGTCTGAGAGACGCGAGGCGCGCGGTCTAAGAGGAGCACGAAAAAAACAAACCCAACAGAACGGCAAGGCTGGGGCATCACGTATACCGCTGGAATTGAAGACAATTTACCTTCAAGTCTCGGTGAACAATGCCTCTATCGTGGCAGTACTTGACAGCCTGCAGCAGCGTGCTGACGAGATCCCTGGCCTCCTTCTCGTTGTACACCACCTTCTCCACGATGCGGTCGAACAACTCCCCCCCTGCATAAGGAGTTGGACGAGCGTTGAGAAGATCGAGAGTGTGTTTAGCGTGGCACACATACGTCGAAGACAACGATACGCAGCGTCAAACCAAGAGAAGCAAAGCACAACCAGCAGCACAGAGGACTCCCCAATTGGAGGGAGCTTGGGAGTTCTACAGCTTTGTAACTGGTGGATGATGATGGAACGGTGGAATTGTGCATATCCCGGTTCCCGCATGCATGCTAGACAATGCTTGACCCGTCGAAAGCTGCCTGAATGCGACCACTGCATAAAAGAATCGGAGGGAAAAAGGTAAAAGTCGCGATTTACCATGGTAAATTCAAGCGATATACCAGCCATTGGATTGACAGCAGGGCTTCAATACTATCACGCGACCACCAGCATCAACGGCATCGCCCTGGAACACGCGATCGAGGTACGCTGCTGCAGGTTTGCTGACAGAGAGGTGCAGGCATACTGCACCCTGGACTTTCTCTTCGGCTAGACTATCAATTACTCGGAACGGTAACTACCTTCCCAACACCAATTCTACGCAACGCCCACAGCCACAGCCACAGACCTACGAAGCACGTTGGCTGTCTTCGCGTTCCGATTTGTTGGCTGTCCTCATGCCGAAGCTGGCCACTACCCACAAGTGTCAGTTCTTAGGCAACAAATTGCAATACATGTAGAACATCACGAACATCATGACAACACCCACAGCAAAAGGTCAAAGCGCAGGATCCAATGCCTGTTCTTCTTGCTCATCCCTCGTACATCAGATGAAACCCATACACCGCAGGCATGAGCCATGACCCTTTTTTTTTCTCACCCCGAACCTTCTCCACGACCATGTAGAAGTGGTCCTTTTTCTCAAAGAAGTCAAGCAGCTTGATGATGTTGGGATGGTCTAGCTCCAGCATGATGGCCATCTGCAAAACATGTCGAGTCCAACGGACACGTCATGGCCGTGCCAGAACACAATTCGCCGTACCCGTATAAAAGGGTGGACAAGGGTTGCTGCGCCAAAGACGGCTATGGCCACGACGGCACAACACAAACAGCAAGAGCTCTCCGATGTAAATGTTACTTTTGTCTACAGAAATTTAGCAGCAACACTCTTGATGAGGGGAAACCCCAGGGCGTCAACCTGTTGACTGCCAGGGATGAGCACAGCTTCACTTGCCATTTCCACCCGCAGCGCTCGTGCAACACTCGCACACCGCCCGCGCAAGTGAAGAACTGGAACTGCCACATCGCACACGTGCAATGCCGGTACTATACGGTACGGTACTGTACTGTACGGCGCTGTCGTGCATCGAATGTCCATATTATCAGCACATAGAAAGACTGCACCAGCTGCTGTGCTACCTTTAGACATCGGACTCAAAAAAGAGGATGGGAAGGGGGCCGTCCTGCAGCTTCAACCAAAAAACGGAATCACCCTCTGACTTTCATGTCTTCATCTCTCAATTACATGATCCTTCGCAAGTTCCAAAGGATGCATCAACAGCAGTCTGGGCGACGTCTGCAGCCCCCTTACCTCGTCCTTCAAGGCTTTCTCGTCGTCCTGTGGCAACCCAGCCCTCTTGACGATCTTCACAGCAACCTGTTCAGTTCAGTTCACGTCACCAAGACACTTCAGTTCACGTGACGTCGCGAAGACACTTTAGTTCACGTGACGTCACCAAGACAGTTCAGTTCACGTCACCAAGACAGTTCAGTTCACGTCACCAAGACAGAGAGCATCGCAGGCATTGGCGACTAACCACCAAGATCGACTCGTGTTCCATGAAACCAAGCAGTGTTGGGAAGGTTCTACAACGGGTGGTCACTTGTAGATATCATGCGACGAAGGGGGCACAACTTCTGTATCCGGATGGCGCGCACAAACTTTCCCTTTAGACCACTGTCACAATCACGAGCTTTGGCCATAGGGCGTCCTCTCAAATCCACCACGATAGATCCTCGGCATGCTGCACCGTCGTACTTAAACCATTCATTGGTCATGGCCATGACCAACATGGCGGCAATAGACCTAGACCTCACCTCATCATTGGTCTTCTTGGCCTTGGCAGACTTGACTACCGAGTAGGCACCCTTCCCGAGAACCCCGCCGATCTCGTATGCGTCGTCGATGTCGCGGCTCGCCAAGAACTTTTGCAGCCTGTGCCCCAAAACACCATCATGCGGAAACATACCGATGGCACGCACAAGTGCGGAAAGCAGGAGCGGCGTGAGTCAAAAACTAACAAGTAACTGCGACGGCGTCCGGCGAAATCAGACGTCAGGCGAAATCACTCTTTGGGGAGGGGGGCACAAAAGCAGGAAGATGCATAGAGATACTTCAGAAAAAAGCAAGGTCATCACCCAAGGCATTCCACCTCCACCAAGAACCTTTGCATGCTCGCACCGTCTGGCAAAGAACATCCCCGCTCCCACCACACAGCACATAGACTAATCTCCATAAACCCAAGGCTGCAACATCACCCAGTACTGTTAAAGGTCGTGCTTGGTTGCTACCCGTACTATACTGCGACTACGACCGCTAATGCTGTACACCAAGCACGCACAAAGACCGCGATTCGTCGGAGCGGGGAACACAGCTTCAAGCTGTTAGCTAGCAGCAGCTTTAGACCGTCGGTGAAAAGGGACGCCGCTTCAACACCAACAACTAGAATTGTTTCGACGCCTGTGGGCACCGCAACACTCGGGGGACTGCAAATCACCGCACCACTCGGGGGACTGCAAATTCACCACAACAACAAATCATGTCAGGGGTTCGGACTCGTTTGATGGGATGCAACAACGTACCAACGGTATTAGACAGGAGGGAGAACAAACTGTTGTATTGTAACAACCACAGTCGTGAAAAAACAGGAGGGACATCGTACGAACAACAAGGGAACACCCTCAGGGTCAACCTAAAAAAATAAGTAAAACGGCACTTACAAGATTCTTCAAGGCTGGCGGGTTGACACGCCTAGAGAGACCTTCACACACAGCAGTAATGTTCACGTCAGTACCGTTTTGATGCTATTAAGAACATGTGCCACATCGATCTGCCCAGCTGCCCCAGCAAAGTGCACTCACTGCATGGTCATAATGATGGTCGCGATAGCCGACTTGAACTTTCTCCTTGCGTTGAACACGCGCATTCGCTGCAAGCTGTCGCCCAACTCGCTCGTCTCCAGCTCATCGTCCTCGCTCATCACCCACGGATGCGCCAACGCCTGCGCTGCGGTAATTCTCTTCGCAGGGTCCACCGTCAACATCCTGCCAGCGGCAAAAAAAACAACAAAATGCCACAAGCGACGGAAAGCGAATATCAAGCAATGCACCGTCCGAGTTTCATCTGTTACTATTATGGTCATGAACGAGGCCAACTCTACCACATCCAACGGCCGCTAGTAGGCGCGCACAGCATGGTCGTGCGTCACGCAGCATCTACTTGCTAAAAGGCATCGGGATGGGCAGAGCGGTCGGTGATAAGTTCGTCTCGATCGCGTGGTACGTGTGGTGGCAGCAGTAGCAGTACAAGCCAAGAACAGAAGCGTTCTTCCTGTTCATGTCACATTTACTTGTTCCGGCGACGTTCTGATGGAGTGCAGCACGTCATCACACCTCACCTCAATCCAACCCGAACACTTCAAAAACGAAACGGGGTGACGTATCGAAATACTAAAAAATTTCCTTGCTGTGATGATACAACCTCGTCAGATGCCAAAGGCTGCAAGACGACAAGCGGGTACTCCAGATTTTAAAGGCATTTCTCGAAGCACGGCTAGTCTAATTCAGTATTGAAACCACCACAGCATTGGTGGAGACGGGTGGCGATATCACAACAAGATGGAAGGTAAACTACCTCTAGTATGATAAGTACTTGAGTACACCATACACCATACGCACCTCGCGATGAGATCCTTGGCGCCGTCGCTGATGGGGTCCCAGTACTGCTCGTGGAACGAGAACTTCCCGCGCCTTATCTTCTGGAACAACCGGGCCTGGTGAGGGTAAAAAACATCCACATTGGCCGTCCGTTAATATCATCATCGCCGGCATGGCATAAATGACGCCAGGCAACCAGCAGGGTGCATGCCACAAGGTCAAGCGGACATTTCCCCAAAAGAGGCGGGGCACAGGATGGGCGGCAAGGCAAGTGTGTATCGGAGGCGGGTGGTCTACATAGACGGGGTGGTCTGTGACATCCAACGGTCAGGGTCTGCATGGAAGCGCTCAAGGCTAGCATACATGTAGCAAAATCTACAAGATCAGACGAACATCTACCCACACCCCCAACACAACAACAAAATTAATCATACCAATATCCCACTCGCGCATCGGTGGGTCGCAGAAAAAAATGCTCTCGTCATCACAACCAATGGAAGGGTGAGGGCAACCGACTTTGCACGTAACGGCTGTTGGGCATAGACAAAGCGTTGCGACACGCGTCAGAAACCAGAAAACAACCCTAGTGCAAAAAAAGCACTTGTGGTATGCATGTGCGTTGGCCGCCAGGGGCATGCGCTGCTATCAGTCACTGTCAGACCATGCACAGGGGCTAAGGAAAACTTGTTTGTGGTACTGTACTAATCTTGATACCAGTTCCGTTTGGGGTACTTCCGCGTGTGTCGACACCTAATACTTCAGATCGTTTGTGATTATGCATCCTTTTCCGCCCCCTGTACGCCATACTCCGACCTCTCACCTGGTTGTCATCTGTCCCACCATCATCCACCGCCATCACAAGGAAATTTCCGTCCCATCCGTCCCAGAATAAAAGAGAAGAAAGCCAGCAGCCAGCAGCCAGCAGCCAGCAGCCGGTCGTACGGTCGCACCGTAGTGCCAGGCAGGTGCAATGACAATGACAAGGAAACCACCGTCGTACGACACCCATCGATTGAAATACAAGCCGGGAAAAAAGCCAAAGGGAAACGTTAGTGGCAGCAGCCATTGCATCGGCGCGGCAGAGCATGCAAAAGAGCATGCACAAGTCTCGTTCGAACGAGACAAGGCATTGCGGTGCGATACGTCAGGGTTGCACGTCGCCAACTTATTCCAAAGGACGTTGCAGATGATGGGAAAGCGCTGCTCATCATGGCTCGGACAGCAAACTGCCTTCAACACCCCCTAGAGGTAATACATGAAAGTGAAACCGCCCCGATGTCGTGGTGTACGAATGCTATGCTGTTCTCCTTCATGTCCCTGGTAATGACTCCATGGCCACGGTGGGGCAGTCGACAACCCATGATGGAACGAAATACACTCATCGCGGGGATACTATTGACATAACAGTCGAAGAACTTCCAAGTATAAAATAACAGGTGAACGGCATCGAAAAGATGATTGCAACAAGCGTCTACAAATACCATCACAATGTAGGATGCTCCTGTCTTCTAGCACAACGTTGACAACACAAGGGAAACGGGAGCGGCAAGCGAGCGAGCGAGCGAGCGAGAAAGGGTGGGGGGGGGAGACAGGATGGAAACACTTGTGTAGAAATTACCATGGAATGGAGGATAGCCCCCGAGAAGAATGTAGGTGATCACGCCGATGCTCCACATGTCTACCGGAGAGCCGTATGGCGTAGACTTGAGGATCTCTGGCGCCACATCTAGAAACAGAAGCAGGAAGGGACGAAGGAAAGGGGGGACGAACACCGAACAGATGCAACCCACGAGATGGCACGTCGGACGAAAGTATACACAAACGTAAAGCAACCTAACCGGTGGGTCAGAGACAGAGTCATAGCGGAACTTTGGCAAGCGGCATCGGCAGCAGGCAAGAGGCTGGCGCAAACAGTAAGGCATGCTCCTCTTTCACTCTATCCTTGAGTAGACTGCCACCTCTGCTTTCAGTTGTGATAGCGCCCCACAACGCAAAACAATGTTAGGGCTAGGTGCCGCGAACAGAACAGCAGCAAACGGCCACCAAACGAATTCGGGTGTTGGAGCGCACGGAGTAATCCACGAAAACGTGGGTCGGGATGAATAGGCCCGTGTTGTTGTATACGTTGACTTTCCCAAGAAACGTCGTGCCAAGTGCCTAGTCCCATCATGTCTACGTTCATCTCACATCCTGGCGTGCCGCACTGCGTTTTGAGGACCTCCGAGCGTGCGTCGTGCTTTTTGGCGAAGCCGAAGTCAGCGATCTTTAGGTTGGCGTTGTCTTGCTTGTCCACGAGGAGCAAATTTTCCGGCTGAACAACGAAAGACACAAAACACGACAATATCGGCGTTGAGATAATGCCACGAGCGAACACCAATAGCGGTTGTCCGGCTGTAACTTGAGTGACTATCGGGCGACGTGTCGTCATTGCCAATGTCAAGGGTTCGAGTCCTACTGCAGTATCGGCTGACACGCGTGAAGCGAAGCACGCCATATAGAGTTGTGAAACAACCTTACCCTGAGGTCCCCACGAGAGAACACAGCAAGGCAAGCACAAACGACAAACTTGATCCACACCAAGCCCTCAACAACCTATTGCATGCCTCGACTAAGTCCACGGCACGGTGTCCAGAGAGCAGGTCGGCCCTGCCTGCTTGCAGACCTCGACTGCGAAACCGGGTGCCAGGGAAGGGAACAGCTCTTCTTGCACATTGACGCACACACCTTGAGATCGCGGTGGATGATGTTCTGGTCGTGCAGGTGCTTAACCGTCCTTAGGAGAGTCCGAACCAGGTCTCTCGCCTCCTTTTCGTTGTAGAAGGTCTTGGACACGATGCGATCGAACAACTCGCCGCCTAAAAATACATACCAAGAATGCCCGCAAAGCACGCGAACCACGGAATGAGGTCAATGTTCACAATAACGTCATGTGTCGACAGGTGCACCCGTAAACCGTTGTCACATTCAGTCGGCAGAGACATGTTGGGTCATGTGCCGCGGTAGAACGAAACATACAGCTGAAGAGCACGCTCACAAGCGTACACCATATGGCAAACACCAGACAAGATTCAAGATCCGCAGGCCCCTTACGTACCACGAAATAAAACACATCACACGCAAAACAAAACGTGATACTGCTTTGCTGTATCGTCCGTCCGTCAGTCGGTCATTATTCGGGCATGTCATCGCTCTCTCTATACAACACTGCCCCAAACGATCGTGTTTACAAGATCAAGACAGTGCTGGCTGGAACCTTGGCCTTCATATTGCAGCCTGCCAAGTGGACGCGCGCCGTGCGTCTGCTTTATCTTGGGGTGGCATCATCATCAAGCCACTAAGCTTAGCCAGCAGGTCATCAGCAGGCACGGAGTGAATCAGCGCCGACGTTCGGGGAACACTCGGGCCCCACCGAATCCACACCCTGCCGCAGTTTCAGCTACTCGCCCAACCTAGTGCACGTGCAACGAAAATGACCCGCATTGTTATGCACCAAACATCCAATCCTAGGCAGCATTGCTCACCCTCGCAGAGCTCGAGCGCCATGTAGAGTGTCTTCTCCTCCTCGTACCAGCCGTGGAGTTTGACGATGTTAGGGTGGTCCAACTCGCCGAGAAGCCTTGCTTCGCTCCTCAGGGCCTCCAAGTCACCCTTGCCAAGGCTTCGCCGCTCCACGACCTTCACCGCGGATTTCTGGCGGTCGGAAATCCTTGTCGCAACCTTCACAATCGAGAAGGCCCCTTTGCCCAACTCATCTGGAACCACATGCGCAGTGAGAGGGTGTTGGTCAACACGTCAACACGTCAACAGCAGCCGGAGGGCTTTTATAGGTGTTGGCATCAGACAACCGACGTCGTATCTTAGATATGCTAACCACACAGCTGGCCTTGAACTTAAAACACTACACCTCTACTTCTGTACCTGACGCACAGCTACTATTACCATCACTGCTGTGCCTACCTGTTAAACCAGTGGAAGCTGGGAGCTGGAGATATGCCACCAAGTGCAACCAGGCACCTGTGTCGCCGTATACACCATACCTGGCATGGTGGCACGGCCAGCCGAGATGGCTTGCTGTGGCAACGCACTTAAAAATTGATCTCTACCGTAAAACTGACTCCTGTCGAAGTTGTATCTACTCGAGTACTGCTGTTATATGCTATCTACGGCTTGTGCACCATACAGCAGTAGTTCACAGACGTTCGCTACAAAGTAACAAGAGAGCAGAACGTGCCTCAGCGCCAGTTGCCGGTATAGTCAAGGCAGCCGTGAATCACACCATCACACCGCAAGTGGACATGTGCTGAAAAAGGCGAACGAATTGCGTGGGAACTATATTCGCTAGGAATCGCTTCCGACACGCAGCGAACCTGTCGCAAAAAACGCGCTGTCCAAATAATCTGGTATTATCGAGTGCTGTACTTTGCTATAGGTCGATCGTTCATCACCTACAGCAGTACGTACCTCCCAGGTGGTATTCCTCAGAGAAGGGCTTCGCGTCGCGAGTCATGCCTACCAAGGTCGCCATCGTGAACAGCAGTGCTTCGGCCTCCGACCTCTTTGCAGCAGCAGCGACCGGAGTTTTCTATCCGCGCGTGAGAACGTGACCACACTTCCAGACGGCTGTTGCAGCAGTAAGAAAGGGCGCGATCGAAGAGATCAAGCGTGTGAACATTAACATTCACGCGGAGATGCCTATGGATACAACCTTAGGAAAAATAAACACACATACAGAAAGACCACCGTTCGAGATATACTCACATTCGAACGGGATGTGGTGAGTCGAGTCTTTTCAGTGAGTAGAGAAAAACCGGCTGGGTACTGGGTACTGGACTTATTTCGAGTCTATTTAAGTAACTGACGATTTATATGAGTGATACCAGCTGGTGCCAAGTACAATAACATCTACAGGTAACCTACACATTGCAATCCATCCCGTTTGTTCTCTACTGGGTCAACGACAAAAATATCGGGGAGAATCCCTCTGTTATGTCGTGTATCGTAAAATATCTTCCACTCGAGGCAGTGCTTGACGTACACATACTGCAGATATTAAATTGGATCGTCTTCCTGAAAGTTGTCTCTGTCTGCGGGCCACAGCAGGACAACCAGTGGTACCGATGTACTTGTACCTGTGACACGCGTCGGTAAGACGGTGTGATTATCTCGGCCAAACGCCGGCCAAAACCAAAAAAGGAGATAAATGGGCAACATTGTTGAGCTATGGTATCATACATCGTGTGTACATGTGACTCGCATTCTGTAGACCTCGCAAGGCAGAGGGAGAGGGAGGTGGAGGGCTCGCTTCCGTAGGAGTCACCAATTCGCAATTCGAACGGAAAATAAAAAATAAACCTTCGCAAGCTGCGGTTCACCCGCTTTTGTATTGTAGCAGGCTTCCATCCTTCCATGCAATTTCCCCGCATGAGGACGAGACGACGCCATCATACCCGGAGAGTGCTGCTGTGTGCACAGGTTTACCGTTTGCTACCACCTTGACTACAGCTGAAACCCACCATGATGCCACTCAAGCCAAAAGCTTCCGGCGAGCTGCTGCCGATAGGTATGGTACAAAGTGCCGCTCGTGAGATCATTCGCCGGCCTGCCTGGCCGCCCCTGGGCCGTTTTAAACCTCCCCTCCACCGCCCGGAAAACAGGAGGAAAAAACCAAGATGCCGCCCGTTTCATATAGACGGTCAAGCGTAACAAGCAATACTTACAAGTTTGCTGCTGTCCTCGGCCTTCATACAATACGCGCGTAGCTATTTATCCCTTCGCTTTGCATCCATCCCGGCGCCCTAGGGATGCGCCCCTCTTACTGGAGAGTATTTTGTCAAACAAGAGGCTAAAAGTCCCGACCTAAGCAGAGGCCTTTTGTCGCCTTCCTGGTCTCTGCGCACTCTCTTCCATGGCCATTCCCTTCCCGGCATGATCACGGAATGGCCTTAAGCAAACAGCGACCGACTACAGTAAGGCGTTTAACCGACCCGCGTCATGGACGGGCCACGCGGACGCCGAACAGAACTCAGTTCAAGGCCAAAATGCGTGAGGGAAAAATACAAGAACTGGCACGACCTGTTGATGGAGAGGACCAAATTATCAATCAAAACTTGTTGACCCCACATCGTGCTACGTTCTTCTTTCCCACTCACCAGCCCACCTTTGTGATGTATCGAAGGAACTCCTCTTGTTGTCTTCAGCAACAGCAGACAGGGGGAAGGTAGCTGGCGTGGCACACAAGACTGCCTCGCAGACACACACACAGGGAATGGTAAGCTGCTGCAGGATTCGTGTACACCTAACCACCAGTGTTCGATAGCGCGGAGCCCCCAGGTTGCGCCGCAGGTAGATTCGGTTGCACATCTTCAGCCTTGCCCGCAGGGACTTGACCGAGGTGTGTCCTCTTCACGTTGGCGCCATTGAAAGCTTGTTAGAGGTAATCTACCGAGGTGAACACGACGCTGAAGTTCCAGTGGGGAAGTGGCCACATTTCCAAGCAGGTGATGATTGAGCAGCAGCACATCATTGAGCCCGTGACAATGACAATGACAATGACAATGACAATACCGTGACCAAGTGTCGGCGTCTCCGCATGAGATGACGAGGTATCTGCAGTACATACTTGCTTGCTGCTGTATGGTACGGAACAGTTGACGCCCGCGTTTAAGAAATGCCAAATACGGTCCAGCCTGAAGTTTCTTGGAGTGCTTCTTCGTGCTGCCGAATCCTGCTGAATATTGCTGTAAATTTTGTACTGCTGTGTACCGGTACTTGAAACAAACCGCAAGAGCACAGCATCAGGAAATGCAGACCAGACACACAAGACCAGTCGGATGTCGGAAGGCATCGGGAGGGAAAACCATAAATCGTACAGTGTCGGTCAAATTTGGTCCAATTTGCGGAGGTTGAAGGCCGCTGTACGACCTTCGATATTTTAGCTCCAGCAGCAAACCTGTACGTGCCAGCATACACGACCTCATGATGTCCTCTACTGATAGAAGCCGAGTGTTCAAGTGAAACTGGTATACTTCGAATGGATATAGTACATGTATAGGAAGAGACAGGTCACAAGGGGTCTGGCACCAGTCCCTTACATCTGAAACTTCTATGATTTACTCTGCTGTTTACACGTGCTGCTTTCCTCACCTCCCTGGCCTCCCGACTTAATCCCGATTCTCACCGCCGACGGCACGAAGGCCACACCCTAGAAGGGAAATTTCTTCAGCTGTGACGTGTCGCTGTCGCTACAAGGTTTAGGTCTTGTACAGTCAAAGCCCGCTCTAAGGGTTTGATGTGAACCTCCTTCTGGCGCTGGCTCTATGTTGATACTTCATCCTATATGCAAGGAAAGCAAGCGCCGTTTCTAGACTACGGTGAATACTGTTATCAGTAGAGGACGCCATGAAAAGAGGCGCTGTGTATGCTGGCACGTTCAGGTTTTGCTGCTGAAGCTGAAATATCGAAGGTCGAAGCAGCCTGTGGAAACAGTCCGTAGTCTGCACCGGAACTCGCCGGAACCAAACATATATCACAGCCATGCTCACCGCCACGGACCGTCAGCAGTAGCTAATGGCATCAGCTACTGCTGCATCCGCCGTTCAGGAGATTGGGTTCAGTGGCGACGAGCACAAGCAGTACAACGACACTGGGTGTCGGTCCAATTTGCGGAGATTGTAGACCGCTACGACACTACTACGACCCTCGATATCACCACCCAAGAAGCTAATTTGAGCGCGCCAACACCCCCCCCCCGGTGCTATAGGGTGTCCTGTTGTGATATCAGCATTCACCGTACGTTGGCGTGCAAAACTGACCTATGTTGAGCGCCTGCCGTTCTGGCTCTTTTGACTTGTGTTTGGACTGGTGTGGAGTTTTATCTTGCTCTCAAAGGAGGCGTTTGAGGTAGACTGCATGTTATGCGTGTTTAGAGCAGCCTCTGCTGTCGACCTGTTCCTGTGCGAGAATCAACGATTCCTGTTTTTCTCGATGCCTTCCGACTGGTCTTCTGTATCTGGTGTACGTTTTCTGGTGCCCTTACGTGACTGGGTTAATTTGAGTTGTATACTTCGAAGTATGTATCTTTTCCCCACGGCTCTCTGTGGTCAAACATCGTCCATGCATGCGTGTACACCCACAAATATCACGGCGGCAAGGATGGTGCAGCAGTGAGTCCATGTGTGAGGCTCACAGGGATGGGGACGCGGTATATGTAAGGGTGACGAACAGGAGTACGTACAGTAGCACTACTGCTGTACAGCAGTACCAGGTAGCAGTTATGCGGAGAGAAAGAAATTTACAGCAGCAAGTTTCTGAAATGGTAGGTGTGCATGCATGTCTCCGACAGCAATCATCCGCAAGGAGGATGTACCTGTGCAAGCACTACCTGTTGGCATATCTTCTTCGCCTCATCCTTGGACAGAGCATACGGCAAGTACATATGCTAGCAACGCTAGATGCGAAGACGCTGACGGGAAACCGCCTCACAGAAGCGCCAGATCGATGAAAATCATGACGGCCCACTCAGAAAATCGAGACCATCATCCACTACATATATCGCACAAAATGCATAAAAATCGTGAAACATTTTACAGTTCTGTACTAAAAATAGAGAACCGTGATCGAAGGTGCAGTCGTAAAAACCCTCGCCCTTGAGCGAAAATTTGCACACAGCAGACGAACCTCTTTTCACTCCCATTGCTGGGAACCACACTCACCGCAATCACAACATCAAGCACCGAGGCAGTACGTTAGCATCGGCTCCGGTGTGCGTTTCCCCTGCTCTCCCCCGCGGATGTGGCACCGGGTCGATCACGTGTTGAGGGTGCTGTATGTACCCTCCGGTGGTATTTTGCGTTTGAATCTTACAACAGTACCGGTAGGCAGTAGATTGGAGTTGGAAAGGATATCTGCCCCGCATCAGAGAGGTTGCGCATGGTGAATAGTATGGTGTGTCCTGTGCGCATCGCTGATAAGCGTGCTTATGGGGTGGACTGCCTCTTTGTCTCCCTTCTAGTCTCTACGTATATTTTTTCTGCTCTTAAGCGAGGCACACGGACGATATATATATTCCCATATATTTTCCCGTCGTGTCTCTAACCCCCAGCCCCCTCGCAGTGCCCCCGCAAGTGATGTTGTTGTCGTCGTAAGTCAGTCAATATGTTTTGTGACGCTTTAGTAGTTACCTATTTCGTTGTTGTTCGGGCAGAATGGAGCGTTGGGACCTGTCTATCTTGCTTCTTGTTTCCTTTGTCTTTCTCTCTTTCTTATGTTTCTTCTTTATCTTTTCGTTCTTTCATCCCTTTTGACCGGGGTCGATCGCCTGTATCCATCCCCCGGCTAGTAGCTTGTTCTTTTTCGTTTGAGTAAAAACGTTAAAATAAATCGCGCCTGGGAGGGCTCTTCTGGGTCCGTTTTTAATTTTTGAGTTCTAGAAAGGTGTACCCCCGCCTTGGGGGCAGTTGGCTTGTGACCACGGAAGGCGCCCGCGTCAGTTGGATCAGTACGGAAGTTAGAAAGTACTGAGTGGAGACCGGAACGGTTTTTATTGTGAAAACAACACAACAACAACAACTCGGGCTATAATTGGCACGCAAAGTGATCGGAGCTGAGAACGGAGCTGAATCGGCCTGTAGTCACATAAGGGGCAAGCCGATTGTCTTTAAAGCGGGGACGACTGTAATGCACTACTGGGAGGGGGTGGATAGAACATGAGAGAGGGGGAAAGATCGAGAGGAGCTGTGGGGTGTTGCGTATCGTATTTGACGCACTCCCCCCCCGGTGACCCCTCGTCTCTTATGTTTCTTACTCCATGTATTATAGTAGTAGCGGTCGCTCCTGTTTCTTATGGAGTCGTTTCTTAATAGTGTGGCCCAGATTGAGCTATATGTTTCTTAACCCTAGTTTCTTCTTGTATTTCGTGGAAATTTGAGCCTTTTCCCCTTCACACTTGTTTCTTACTCGCGGACGCTAACCGGTAGTATTGTAGTAGCGTGCATTGCCCACCGAGCACGTCGGGTCCAAGATGTGGGGCTGACATTCCGCTCCATGAGTGGCGAATCTGGCCAGGATTCACATCTTCGTTTCGTGAGCACGCCACGAGTTATTGGAGGTTGGAGGCAGAAAGCAATGGAAAGTGGAAAATATGTGCTGGTCGGAAGACCGCTGTGCAGCAGTGAAAGTCGTTGTACAACGACGTCCAAAGGTGGTACTGTACTATTTACAACAGCAGTCGGATACGCTGTTCATTGTTTAGTTATGGAGACCCGCTGGCCACCGAATCAAGTGGAATAGTCTTTGTACAACCAGACAGCAGTAGGGTAGTCAGGTACGTGATATGCATAGCTTCGTTCGTACGCATCGTATTGCTGCGTGTATTCAGTCACAGACCCACCCCGTTGCCAACCCAGATAGCCCCGCGGAGGATCTTTTGATCTTTTGTTTTTTGTTGAAAACAAACACCCGCCGGGGTGACCTCAAGGGTGGAGGGTCTTTTTACATTGAAGAAAAGATCTCCAGGCGAAATTCCCCGGGGGAAGTGTCTCTTTTTTGCTTTTCTATAGCGCATGTGCTGCAACACAGCGCCGACCCACACGATGTCAGGGCTCAACATAATCTATGAGCAACCCGCCTACAACACCAACACTGACACCAGCACCAAACCAACTACACCCACAACAACAAATACCGCAACTGGCACACACACTAGAATGCTGCCACAGTGGATGCCGTGGGTTTGTGGGCGAACGCCCGGGGTGCGCCAATATTTTGCCGAGAAACGAACACAGCGAGGCTAACTAACTCAAGGGTAGAGGGGCGACACAACAAAACTATAAAGGGCGGCAATCCCGGGGCTAAATCAGCTTTTTTAATTTTTTCGCGCTACCCCGGCGATATGCTTTTTTCGGGGGCTATCTCGTGGAGGCTGCCATCTCAAAGGATACTTTCATACGGTAGTCGTATGTACTATTGCTGACTCCTTATCAGAGGTTCTCTTTGCTCTGTGTATCCAGAACGTTTTTAGTGTGCCTGCCTGAAGGCGCACGTGAGAATGCACAACTTCCGCACTCGTTTCTCCCGCCTGAGGCAGCTTTCACCAAGCCTTTGATGTTGATCACAGACACTCCATTGCGAGAAGTGCCGGCCTTGAGTTGAGCAGGAAATTGCCATACGGCCGCGATTGGCTGAATCTCGGACCTGATGACGTGCTGAACGGCTGCCCAGCCTTTTCGAGTATGGGTAAGCACGTTATAGTATGGGTAAGCACGTTATCACCACGCACCCAGGAGTTGGTTTGGTGGAGAGGGGAGAGAGAGAGAGAGAGAGAGAGACAGCCTGCACCTGCCGTCCAAGAGGCTAGCCACGAAGTATGCAGATCTTCTCTGTTGCGAGCACTACGCTTACGGCAGCGGACCTAGCCCAGACTTCGGCCGCTGGCCTGGCGTTCTTCTTTAGTCTCAAGATGGGGGCGATCACCTACATACCTTTGCTCGCTCACCGCCAGGACGCAAGCCTGCCCGGCTTCCCCTCTGCTCTGTCGAGAACAACACCCCCTAAACCCCCTGCCCACACCACCTTCCTTGCTTGCTTGCTTCCTTCCGACAGCCGGACTCAACATGAGAGGCCGACCAAAGACGCGTAGAACCGGGGGAGCCGTGTCAAGGGCGACGATGGCTTGGCTCGTGGCTCCCGTGTTAGTCGCCATGGCCGCGCTCCCGCGGGTATCGGGGCACACTGGACCCAGCAAACTGTCCGCCATTCAGCCACCAACGTTCGCGCTGGACCCAGATATTACCCTTGAAGTCGGTCCCACTCTCCTCTTCGAAAGCGGGCAGTGGGTCACGGTTTCATGGAGCGGGATCGAGTCTTGGATGTTCCCGGATGCCTTCGTGGCTGCGTTTTCTCCGGGGACTGCCCTGGATTACCCCGCCACCGTAAAGGAAGTCGCTCCCATAAAGTACCAGTTCTTGACAGCCGAGAAACCTTTCCCCGGGGTTGGTCATGAGGCGGAAACGGGTGCCGTGGAGAGCCTGAGGTTTAGGCTTTTGAACTTGAGGGATGCGGAAGGGTATCGCTTCGGCCTGTTCAAGGGCGGGGTCGAGGATCCGGTGCTTGTGGCCAGGACAACAGAAGCGGTCACGTTCGCTCAGCCGTTTGAGGTGGGGGTGTGGGCGGTAGTGTAGCTGCTGCTTGGGTGTTGTACGCCGCAACCTAAAACTGATACTAGGGCGGGCATCTGGTGTGAGGACCAACATGAGTGTTGGGGTTTGTTTGTCTGCGAGCCGCCCTCGACCAGGCTGCTCTCGCTGCTGCTCAGCATTCACTGCCAGGTAGAACGCGTCGGTCCCACGCCGGAAATCGTCGGAGTGCGGTGCTCCGCTTAGGTTGATCTGTAAGCACTTTTCCCATTGCATCTTCTATCGAAATGACTCATGACGGTAGCCAGGTGAAACAGTCGCTTTTGTTCACTCAAGTGCTTCTTACCCTCTCCCGTTCCCGTTCCCCGCTAAATAGGTGCTACACTTACACCTAGCGTTGACCTCTGATGTGGATTCGATGCGTGTCTCGTGGGTGACCGGGGAGGCATCACAAGCACCGGCCGTCATGTTCCGTGAGGTTGCCGTTGGGGCGCAGGAAGGGGTGACAGAAACACAGGTCGACCCTTGGCAGGTGAGGGCAGACTTGTGCATGGCCAACTAGCAAGGGTGCAATCGGGATTTTTTAGCACCACTGCTGTCTAGCCAAATGTTGTTGTAAACTAACGCCACGAGTGCCGCACAGATTGGTACCCAACGGTGCCTTCCTTCACGGCCCGCAGACCCCGAATACTTCAACTAACCCATCATGGAAACACCAGGCGCGATCTACGCCAAAGTGTCAGCCCTTTGCCGACGGACTTGGCCTAAAGTCTACCCCGCTCTCCCCCCCACCCCCGGAATGTCTCAAAAGGAAGTTGCGGCGGAGTCTTCTATCACATACGGTCGCGAGGATATGTGTGGGGAACCGGCGACCTCGAATGGCTTCCACAACCCCGGACTCTTGCACTCTGCCGTGTTGCCCGGCCTCATCCCGGGGCATCCCTACGAGTGAGTGCACGCTGTGTTTTGGCAAAAATAATAGGGAGTATCACTCCACCGTCCGCCATGGTTGGACCGCTCTTACAGTTGCAATTGCCCATTTCTCGAGAGCCAAGTCGGGTGTGACTAGCTGAAGGGACATGTTGCCAGAGATGCAGTTTGGGTGGCGGTTTCATTCGCTTCAATCCGGGAAAATGTGAATGCTGCGGTAACCTCACTCCCGTGCCGGTACCCGTTTAGAAGAAATCTGGTAGATGGAGCTCACCGGTTGGGGTGGTTATGTATGCTCCACGGCGGTAAGGCACAGGAGTTAAAGGTTCCAGGCGGTTGGCACTATTCAGGGGTACCTGAAACATTGTTTTAGGTTTCGAAGATGTCAACGCTCTGTATACTGCATACCCAACCCATTCCCTCTCACACGGGGGGGGGCACTCGACGTCGTAAGTCGCTGGCATTTTGCAGAGGGAAAACCTGGCCACCCGCCTCCACTCTCCCTTTCCCCCATCGTTGGAAGGTACAAAGCCGGGGACTCCGATGCCCAAGAATGGGGGTCTTCTTCATTCTTCTACGCCCCGCCGGTTTCCTCGGGAACAACAGCCGCGCATCAGCAACGCGCTGGTTCACCGGAACAACCCTCATCGGCAGGTGCTGCTTTCTCCCCGCCGCTGGTAAACACGGTTACTGCTTCAGGTGATGCTAGTACCGCAGACATGAGTGGCAAGGGGTCGCGCCCAGAGATGGCTGCGTTGGCGCCGTCTGAGCTGGATAACGCGTCAGGAATAGGAGCAGAAGGAATAGCGTGGGATCCCGACGCCGTCAAAGTTGCTGTTTTTGGAGACATGGGCACGGCGGAACTCGACGGCACGCTCGACGCCGGACACACGAGCGAGCCGCCGTCTATCCGAACAGTGGGCATCCTCAATGACCACCTGAGGGGAGGTGCGGGTGTTCGGGCCGTAGGCAGCAGTGGCGGCGGTGATGGGGTTTCGACAGGTCCAACTGGTGGAGGGGAAGAACCGCAGCTCGGCTTGGTTCTGCACATCGGGGACCTGAGCTATGCAAGGGGGTACGATGCCCAGTGGGACGAGGTGAGCAAGCTCGTCTCAATTCCTAGCGTGTGCCTGGCACCCGGCAAAGGTTTGGTGGCACGGGGCCATCGGTGCAGGTATTCAGGCTCAGGCTCAGGCAGGCTGTCTTATCCTGGCGGAACAACAATTGTTGTACTCATCGCCGAGCATTTTCTAGAGCAGTGGTGGTTCCAGGATTTGTGCCCGCCGTAGACGGCTTCAACCCTGTAAGTACGGGACGCCAATAAATGTGGCACCTCGGTGTGCGAGAACCTCTATGTCGTGCACCCTTGTAGGGGACGCAATAAATACATGTGACCTTGACATGGTATGCATACAAGTATCAGCAGCGACTGTGCAATCGAACGCCTGGCCAGGCGACACTACGTGCGGGGGTGTCCTTGCAAGCACCCACCGCGGCCACCCCCTACCCTCGCCCCAAAGTCGGGATCGCTAATTGCGAGGTGATGTCTTTGGAGAAGGCCGATACTGTGATATCACGGGCGTAACGTGAGTAGCTTGTTGATGGGGCCCGAACCAAGTCTGCTCTTTCCCCAGGTCTGTCTCAGTTGACCACTTCTTCCTTGCGAACGATGAAGAAAGTTTTTCCTACATTGCCTAAGCTTTGATGAACAGCCTTGTTGGATATTGTATTCCTCGTTCATGTTCATTTGCTTCACCGCCAAGGACGAAAGGGCGACGGTTAGGTTTTTCACTGCAGTACAGGTAGTAGTGCAAGCTACCGGATTCCGTTCCGAAAATGGAGTCACGATGAACACCAAGTGCCGCTGCGTAAGGATTTTCGGCCGACAACAAATTACTCGTTCATGACCAATTTTGAGTGTCATTTTTTTCGCCGTGTTCCGTGTGGCTCTAGAAAGCTGTTTTTCCTGTTGTCCGGGTGCGGCCGTTCCCCCGAGATACTCTGTTTTTTTGCAGCCCGTGCAAGGTGGGGAGTGTTTGCGGACGTGTTTTTATTGACGTCACACCGTGCTGCATACTGCTGTCCCGCCTGCAGTACATGGACCAGATCAAGCACGTCGCATCGACTGTTCCTTGGATGGTGGGTGTGGGGAATCACGAGCGAGATTACCCCACGACTTCCGAGTCACCCGTTCGCCAAGAGCTCTCATTCTTCACCGGTACAGACTCTGGAGGGGACTGTGGTGTGCCGACAGCGTTCAGGTGATTTGGATCCCTGGCCCGCATCAACGGCGGTATGTTTGCTTCTTCCCTTTTTACTTTCCGAACGCCACTCCGGGGCGACACCGAAAAAATGAATATTTCGTCCCGTCGACCCTTAACTGCCGTGCTTTCTCTGCATCACTGAAAAGAGTCGGCCGGTAGTAAGACAGAGCTGTTGTTTGGTGCTTGAGAGAGACGCCCAAGTATAGTTTATGAACTCGGCGTCTTATGCTTCTCAGTCCACGTTTGAAGATCATGGCAGGGTGCTCAGCAATGTCTACTGGTACTCTTGCTCGGAGTTGGACGGCTCTCTGACCCACTACATAGCGATCCTGCTGTCTTCTGGTTGTAAGCACTGGGAGTGTGCTCCCCGTGTTCTCCATTGCATGCATTCTGGCAGACGTTTCTCGCTTTCCCGTCTGATCTGTCCGGACGATCATGAGGTTCCTCGTCGTGTTGGTGACGGTGACGGTGCTGTTTTTGGTTTTGGCGTTGGCACTGAAATACTCCGCGGCGCTCAACAGGTTCATCATGCCCGGGGCGGCGGAGGAGCCCACGGCGGATTGTCCGTGGTACGGGTTTGATTTCGGCCCGGTGCACTTCACCGTTATGTCGACAGAGCACAACTTCTCGGTGGGCTCCAAGCAGGTGCCCGCCAACCCGCTCCTATTGGGTGGTCGTAAACCTGACCATAGAAGTCGAAAGCGTTTGAAGTATTAGTTACATGTTTCTTTGGTGATATTTTCTGCAACGAACAAACTTTGATTGGAAGCAATCGTGTGTTGCCCTCAGTCGTGTTGGTATGAAGGGTTCGGCCGACGGACGCACCCTGGTTGTTTCGCCCTTTTGCCCACTACAGTGTTGGTTTGGTGTGAGGCGAGTCGTGATGCCTCCCAGTATTGATGCCACTCACTCTCCATCGATGTTGTCCCCGACTCAGAACGCGGAGATCCCACCACTCGGTAACACTCCTTCGCATTAGTTGCGCATCTCATCGTATGGAACGCTGACCGACCCATCCCTTCCCGGCAGCAGCTTACCCCCTCGCATCAGAGTAGCAGTTTCTGTCCCACCGGACGCGACCCTTTGTTTCGTGTTGAGCCAAACTAACGACACGTGCTTCCTCCAACCTACCTGGTACGTACTTAATACGTCTGCTCTCATCATGCCGTCCGATGGCTACCTCGGCGCGTTGCACGTGTGCAGGTACTGCTATCGCTTCAGCGTTGCGCTCCTTAGGGGGGCGAAGGTACTGCTCGACCACCCGCAAAATGTTTTAACGCTATCGTCCTTTAATCGACACCCGTATGCATGCCGACCGACTCCTTTACGCCAGTACGCGTTCATCAAGGAAGACCTCGCCGGCGTAGACCGCGCCAAGACCCCATGGATCGTCTTCTCGGGACACCGGCCCATGTACGTCAACAGCGGCGGCGCGGGGGCGGGAGAGTGCGAGGGTGCTGCGGCTTTGGAGCCAAACTGCGCTAACGACCAGCCGGTTGCGAGGTCGCTTCGTGCTGCCCTTGAGCCATTGCTCATCGAGTACCAGGTTGGTCTTGCCGGTCTATTTCACCACCCCAATGGGTTGTCTGTTTGATCGATCGTGTCATGAGCATGTACGCGCTGACACGTTGGTGAGCTGAACATCTGTTTTTTTTTTTCCATGATGATGGCTTGCGTCGGGCTTCTACGGGAGCATGCTGCGGTAGAAGGAACAGTTCATACATCGGTTCGGTCTGGCATACATCGGAGACCTCCAGTCTTGGTCCGACGAATGCATCGCTCACAGAGGTTGATGACTGTGTCCATATAGGCGAACGCGTTTATGTGTCCAACTTGAGTGTTGGGATTTAGCTGTCCAACTCGCCAAACACGTGCTTACCCCGTGTCCTCTCCTCTCTGCCTGCCACGCCCCGCCCCTAACATTGTGTGGTCCCCGCACGCCGTTTTGCAACTGTCCTGTCGTTGTGTGTCGTACGTTGCTCGCTTGTGGAACACCAGGTAGACCTTGCAGTCTATGGACACCATCACAGCTACCAGCGTACCTGCAGAGTCGCCAACGAGACTTGCGTGGGACCGTCTTCTCGGACCTACTCCAGTCAGTATCAAGAGTATCAAGAGCATCAAGATTACACCGCCCCCGTGCACGTTGTCATGGGAATGGCGGGCATGGGTCTGGTGAGACTTGAGGTTTTGAACGGTTCGTGTGTGTTGGGCGTTCTATGTTTCGTCCCATCGCTTCTGCGTGCCATTCTACAACTTTCGATACTCCTTTGATGAACTAGTCGGGGTCGCGCAGGAGCCAGGTAAACGTTATATGGATTTCTGTGTATGCCGCGTTACCTCTTTCGGTGATTACCTGCAATTTTTTTGACATCGCAATAGGATTGAGCGGCCCCTTTCCTCTTGTTTTGCGCTTACCGACGACTGTGCAGTTTCCTCTTGTAACTTTTATTTTTGGGTTATACCTCTCCGGAGATGTTCGCACCCACGACCGAGAGTGAGAGGTTTTACGAGGTTACCTACAGTAGTGAACCACAGAGGCAATCGGAGCTGGTGTTGGAACGCTTCGCATTTTTGCATAGGCTCCGCGATTTGGTCTGGTTTCGACATCAAGGTTCGGATGCTTAGTGGCCTCTTGCGAGAGGTGACAGCATTGAAATGACCGCGCGGAAGAATTAGTGGTGGTTGTGCTCAAGTTGCTCTCGCTCCTACTATAATGCAACCTCTGCAAACAACGTGCAGTTCGTGCTTCAACACCCCCCTCAGTGTGCCCCAACGCACGAAGTTGGTATACCCGTGTCTCTGTTCCCCAGTACCGCTGGCGCGCTGGCTCTTTGATCAACCGCCCCAGTCGTGTTGTTCGCGTGCCCACTTCCATTTCATCCCATCCAGTCTCAAAATATGGTCAGCCCGAGGCCGGAGTGGGTGGAGTACGCGACGGACCGGGAGTTTGGCCTGGGGATGATCGTTGCTGATTCCTCCAAGCTGCAGCTGTCGTTCATCCTCGACGCTGATGGGCAGGTGACAATTTTAATGATATTTTGGACACATCAACGTTGCAAACGACGGCACAGACCATGGTTAGTTCCGCTCTCGGTTTATGTTCGTCTAGAAGTCAACGAGGTGCACCAGGCTGGCGTTGATCATCCACCGATGGTCCTTCGAAGCCTTCCAATCACCGTAAGAGGGCTCTTCGTTTCTCCCACTTTTTCGAGCTTCAGCCCCAGGAAGCTGATTGCTGTTGTAGACCAGTCAGGTTCCTGACAACAGCAAACCCTTCCCAACACATGATAAATCAGACATCGTGTGTATCTGTGGTTGCCGTTTTTCTGTTGGTTCAATTCCGACTTTTGGAGAGGGAGTTTCCAGCAGAGTCAACTCATGTGCAGCAAGATTTTGACCGCGTTCTCTATCGGGTCCCCGCACTTTTCGGGAAATGCAGCATCAAAGTATCAAGGACTGTGACCGTACGGCTGTGTGCATGGTGTACTGTGTGCATTGCTAGGCTCGAGAGAATGAGAGTTTTACGTAGGTGGGCTGAATGTACTTGGAAAGGGTCGAATAGACCCAGGGCATGGTTGTTGGAACACCCGAAGGCGCTCGGGGTACAAAAACGACGCACGATGTACCCGACACAACTCCTCCTTTTCCCGTCTATTTACATTTTCTGGAGATTTCACGCTGCTTTTTGCTTTGTTGGTCTCTCCGTTGTGCCCGCCTGGTCTGTGCAACGTAGGTTGGAGACGAGGTGGTACTGGTACGACTGCCGCCACCTTCGACATCTGCTGTGGAGGAGGATGGAATTCCTGTCGAAGGGGCGGAATTGTCTCGAGGATACGCATATGAGAAACGAAATCATGCCCGCAAAAGAGAGATCTCGAAAGCCATTGGAGAGGGCAACACGAGGCGTTCGAAAAGGGTTACAGGTTGAACTTCACGAGTATTCGACGCGAGTGTTTGCTGCTTGCTGTATACAATTGTCCATACAATGATGTTTTGTTTACGTTGAAATGTTTTCCCCCTGGGTGTTTGTGGTATTTTAGTCGTCACACTATTCGTGGCCGTGTGCTTGCTTACTGTGATTTTTTGTTGTCGCGGGCAGGAGTTTTAGTGAGATCAGGGTTCCACTGGTAAGTGGAGGGAACTTTTTGTTGCTTTTTGGAGCCAGCTTTAGTCAGTCGCACCAGGTCAAGTTTCTACAGCTTGCGCACGCTCAACTCGAGTGACTCTTTCATTGGATGGCCCGTTGTTTTCATTTGTGTAGACTGTAGTGTTGCTGGTTTCACATTAAGAACAGTTTGGGTGTGCAGTTGACCGTCCAGCATACGTGCCGGCCCAAATGCGCGTTCTGCGATCAAGTGAATTACTTTTTTGTTTTTTGTTTTGGGGACGCAATATCCGCCGGATACTGTAGAGCTCCAATCCGTGATCAAACAGAAAGGTTCCTCTCCCCGAACCCCCTCCTGCTGTGCTTGCCTTCTTGCTTTCGATTATTAACGAGGGAAGAGTGCAGCACTGTGGTGGTGCGAACGGTGTGAATGAAACGTCGGGTGCAACGCTGCGAGGGTCAGTAGGAGACGGCAGGTTACGCATCTTCTTTTGCGTTTTCGAAGCAGGAAATTTTCCTGCCGAGAACCGAATAAGTGATATGTTTCGCGACGGTCTCCGCCGGGAGCTCGTCTATATCCCTCCACAATTTCAGCAACCGCCGTGTTCAAACCCCCATTACTGTCATACTAGTAGGATCGGAAGGCAGGAAAGTAGCAACGTTTTCTAGGTCGGGTTAATTCCCACAGGAAAGTGCGGAGATTTAACTCCCGATTGAAGGATAAAGCACGGGACAGGACCTTCGTGGCCCCTTTTGAACCGGGTTGGTCTGCCCCACTCTTTCCGTCTTCCGAAAGAGAGCAAAGCAACAGCTGCACTGTGCTGTCCAAAGAGACGAAAAGTCAAGCGAGTCTTTCCAAAGGGTGTCCAGGGATTGTTACGCGTGTCGATCCCATTGCACTTCCCATCTTTGGCGGTTGCAAATGGTTTTCGTGTGGTGGCGGGGCTTTTTCCCGCGGCTCTTGGGTTGTACATATTATTGGGACAGGTCACCTTTTTCTAGTGGCGTTCTCATGAGAGACTCGCGAGATGTATGAGTTGTTTTCCTCATGACAAAAAACAAAATCTCATGTCTCTCATGAGAACGTCACGAGAAAAATGTTGTCATGGGGGCCTCAAGAGAGTCTCATGCAAATAACCCTTGTCCACAATCAATCATAGCCCACACCACCGCAACTTGGACACACACACAAAGTATGGGGTACTGACATTATTGGGAGCCCACGTGGGACGTCCCATGGGACAGCCCTGGGACGTCCCACGTGTCCCACGGTGTCCCATGGGACAGCTAGGGTCGTGCGTGTGTCCAAGTTGCGGTGGTGGGGGCAATGATTGATTGTG